TAAACAGTGGCCCAAATTTTTTTCCATCCGTATGACCTTTAACTCAAGGACGTCCTTTTCCCGCTTTACTTGAAACAACTCGGACCTCAACAAGCTTACCGCCTTGTTCAACTCATCAAGGTCAGCACATGAAGAAGGAATTGACTCTGCCGAGACAACAGCAGGGCGACCCTGTGGCCAACTCCAATATGGTTGTCTCATTTCCTCTTCACTTGGACATAGCGCCCGCAACTGAACTGACTGTTTCAGAAAACAGACAAGAGTCATATGCAATCATTCTACTTCATAATTTCATTGAATCTTATAAATAGTTCCAAGGGCTGCAAACCAAACCTCTTTGCTCTGGAAAAAATAATTGTTCAACTTTCTCATCTCGGGAACAGACGTAGTAGTTCTCCATCGCAAAATACGCGGGAGAGCTGTCGGATCAACAACCTTGCAGTAATTCAGGTCCACCATTCTAGGAATTAATTCATATACCCAAATCTACACAATTCACAGGACACAAGTTATTATTTAAGTTTTAAAGTCAACAAAACATAACGACATGAACATTATTACCATGTACCTGGAAAGCATACGTGAAACCTTTAAAACTCCAGCCACCCCTTTGCACTTCACCATGGTTATCCTTCTTGCCCTTCTCATTTCTCCGGCTTGTTCCGGTTACCTTACATTTCCCCTTCCCTCTTCCCTCTTCATTTTCAAAGCTTTTCACATACTTTGTTGGTGCAGAAAACAGACTGTCTTGGGTTTTGTCAAACGACACCGAACCCCATGGAAACCTGTTGAACGCATCCAAGTCCTCTACAAGGGTCAGGTAATTTAGATTGATGTTCAAATGTTTGTCCCTTCCCAAAACCACTAACTCAGCAAAGTAAACAAGAGCTAGCTTGTAGACGTCATCTTCCTCTGTGCACCTCACAAATGCTTCTTCTAAAGCATTACATGTAATTCCTTCGTCTATAAAATATCTTTTCTGAAGTCTAATTTCATCACTTTCTCCACTGGAAACTTCAGGCACTTCCCCAAAACGAAGCCCTGAGATCAAACAGAAATCCTGACGAGTGAACTGAGCAACGTCGCACCCTATTAAGAAACTCAGTCCATCCAAGTCTTTCACACCCTGCCCCGCTACTCTACGCAACACAACCCCATGCACAATCTGCCCGCTAAACTGAATCTTATCTATATTCAGAAGATGGCCAAAGCATGATGTCTTGAATTGTTCTAATTGTTCGGCACTCAACTTCGCTCGAATTACAGCTAGGGATGAATTTGCATGTGAGCAGTTGTTCACCCGTGAGGAATATGCCTCTGACTCTGGCCATACCAGCTCAACGTTGGATCCCATTTCCTGAAATACAAGATGAAATAACGTGAACACATATACTACCACGTATTTGCACAATCACATTGGTATTTACACAACTAGTCAACCAGCACATTACAAATTTTACAAAGTACATGCGCATAGGGATTACTGATCACAGGCTTTAACATCATCAAAGCAATATGACATATTTTGTGCAAATACCTGTTAATGCAATGATTCTGTGAATTACAAGCACTAGCATGTGTTTTATTTATGGATCCAAACTCCAATCAATGGTTGATGCATGAGTGAGTGTGAGTGCAATCTAGGCAAGTTCTGCACTTCACACACATGACAATTATTGTCATCTCATACACAACACAAAATAAATAAATAAATAAGAAAGATGGTGGAAGGAAGCAAAGCAAAGCATCTGCTCTGCTATCTGCTCGCTAAGCCATTGCCACATCCTTCTTTCTTTCTAGCTTTTTCTTCAGTCAGCCATAATCGTCATAGATCAACCTTTTTTCAAATGCTTTGCACTTTTATTCATGAGTTTATTATTATCTGTTCTCATTTTTAACAGGCAAATTTAGTAACAACGGAAATAATATTTATTTCAAAAATTATATATATTCTAGCTCCAGAGAGATAATCTGCACTCTGCACTGCTTCAAATGTGGAAGGTTTTGAGGGCCTCCTCCAATTCAACACCATTACCTTATTCATATCATTATTGACATGTTATTGACATGTTATTGACTTTATTTCATTCGTTTTTTAACATATACCCAAGCAAAAATTAACATGCAAGTGAAGCACAAAGAAGAGATGCCAAATCTAACAACATTCATGGTACAAATTGGGGAAAACGGTTACTCTAACCCTAAACTCAAATTCCATAAATTACTCACCAAATGCTGGTTATTGAACAATCGCAAGGTGTCTGTGTTGGGTCTTTGTGCGGCTTTGCTCCACAAATGGAACCTATCACTTCCAACGAATACGGCTTCTCTCCTTCCCCTTCCACTGCTTCGTCTTTTCACTGTTTCAGAATCCACGCCTTTGCTCCTTCCACTCAAAATAAATACTTTTTCACGGTTTAGATAGTGGAGTTGCGTTCAACCGTCGTTAACCTTTGCCTTCAACCGTCGTTGCCCGTTGCCTTCAACCGTTTCTCAGAGCTTAGCGGTTTCTCTCAGCTATGAGTTTGAGATCAATGGGTTTTTTCTGTTCAAACTTCGAACTTGCCTCTCTTTTTTTTTGTTGGGACCAACTTCATTGCTGGATATTAAATTCGGGTTTGGGTTCCTCACCTACCCGATTGCACAACTTTATCCCAATTCTCCCCAGCCCTTGGATTGATCCAATGACTATAAAGTGAACCCCTTATAACTTACCCCTTATAACTTACCCCTCATTATAGTCTTTTTTTTTTTTTTTTTTTTTTTTTTTTTTTTTTTTTTTTTTTTTTTTTTTTTTTTTTTTTTTTTTTTTTTTTTTTTTTTTTTTTTTTTTTTTTTTTTTTTTTTTTTTTTTTTTTTTTTTTTTTTTTTTTTTTTTTTTTTTTTTTTTTTTTTTTTTTTTTTTTTTTTTTTTTTTTTTTTTTTTTTTTTTTTTTTTTTTTTTTTTTTTTTTTTTTTTTTTTTTTTTTTTTTTTTTTTTTTTTTTTTTTTTTTTTTTTTTTTTTTTTTTTTTTTTTTTTTTTTTTTTTTTTTTTTTTTTTTTTTTTTTTTTTTTTTTTTTTTTTTTTTTTTTTTTTTTTTTTTTTTTTTTTTTTTTTTTTTTTTTTTTTTTTTTTTTTTTTTTTTTTTTTAAAATCTCTTAAGGTAATTCTGTAAGGGGAAATAGGCTGCTATGGCCTCTCGCCTCCAATTTTATTCAACCATGCCCTCCTTATAGAAACACATGAAAAATGTCCCCAGGTGCAATGCTCTAAAAAACTCCCTATTGGTTCCGCACTGCCCCTCGGGTTTGAATCCCTCTCTCTCCTTTATAATCGGTTAATAAATTGGTTGATTTTCTTTATTTTATTTGTTTTGGGCAGCTGAGTAACATAACAGTAATGTATATTGGTGCGTCTATATTGCATGTCTGTTGGGTCTATATTGCTTGTCTATTGCGTGCATATCTTTACATTTTTTGCGTCTGTATTGATTTGTATTGCTTACGACGGAAATAAATAACAATACACAGGCAACAGACAAGCAATATACACGCAATAGATATGAAATATACACGCAATAGACATGCATATACATCAGTCCCCAATTACATCAACCATAAGAAGTCGTATTGAATAGGAAATTCTACTTAAGTTTGTTCTTCCTACGAAAACAAAGAATAAGGACCGTTTCCCCCCCCTTAAATCTAACTGGAGTCCTACTTTTGCCCCCAATAAACTTGCAATATTGGAGCAATAACATGCGATATACATGCAGTAAACACTCAATCAACTTTCAATAAACCTTCAATATCGGTTCAATAACATGTGAAATACATGCAGTTTAACAATCATGAAACCTTCACGAAACATGTAAACAATCAATAAACCTTCAATAAACCTCAAGTTAGACCTAGGATTTTTTTTCACCCACATACATATTCTGGAAATGAGAACTTACATAGGAGGTTAGACACTTCCAAAATGCCTTCCCCCGCGATTTTTATCTGATTTTGAAACCCGAAGCACCATTGCCGCTCCACAATACTGACACCCTCTTTGTTTGAGCGGGAGATGAAGACGAAGACATGTTTAATCTTATCACTTGTACCTCTTCTCACTCAGATCTTCTCACTAAAACCTCTTCGGACTCATACCTTCTGAGTTATACCCCTTCACTCATAAGTCATAACCCTAAACTTCTCACTCAGCTCTCTCTCATCTCTGCCCAAATCGAATTATATCCTTCTTTTCTGTGTGTGGGTGGGTTGGTCACGATCTGGACACCTGTACCGTCAGAATTGTGACACATTTTACTCCGATAAGCGATATACTATTTCACAAACAATAATTAATCTTACAATTGAGGGGACACTGCTTTAAATATATTATTTTCTTTATATTGCATTAAGGCAACTAGTTGGATAAGAATCCGTCATTTAATAGGGGTAGTGTGGTGTGGGAAAATGAAAAAGTATCTGATGGGACCTTCTGTCACTAGTCAGTAATCCATCACATTTGTATCAATGAATTTAATGGCGGGAAAAGCCTAACAATGGCTATGGAAATAGGTTATTAATTGACTTTTGGACGGTCTGACTCCCTTTGCATTTTGATGACGTTTTCCCTTCGCCTGTCTTATGTTTTGGGTGTTGAGTTCAGTTTCTTTAAAAAGTGTCAACTTGGTAAAACCCCAAGGAAACACCTTTTCAGAACAGTGCAACCAGAGGCTAAAACAAACCCAAAACCCCGTATATTCTCATTTCTCCCCTCTTGCAGTCCTCAAATCGTTCCATTCCAAAAATATTTCAATGAATTCCAAACATTACACTACAGTCGGAGGAAAGAGAAGGAAGCATCGCGATCCGGATGTGCCTCAAGCCTTCATCCCGGAATTAGCTTGGTTTTAAAGTGATGTTATACGTGGCAACCAACTCATCGGAAGATCTCTTTCGTATGGCATGTGTGTGCCGATTGTTCAATACGTTGGCAAACACTCCACAAGTGTGGAACACAATTTCAATGGAAAAGTACCGAGACCATCCTAACTGGTACTATGCCGCAGAGCAGGTCCGGCATTTCGTGGACCAATGCAGGGCTTGCCAGAACCCTGAGGCGATATTTAGAGAAGCGTTCGACATGTTTTTCAGGCAGGGTAATGTGGAAGCATTGTCTGGGATGCGCGTTGCAGCCACGGCAGGCCATATGGAAGCGTCATATCTAGTTGGACTACTTGGCATGTCCGGAATTGGTCAGTCAAAAGAGGATGCATTGGAATTCTTGTGTTCTTTGAATCAACGTAACAACATTGATATGAAAGGAACCAGGGATGCTTTGAGACGACGATTAAGCGGAATTTTCTCTGTTGGAAGACATATCGTAGATATGTTTCACTATGGGAAGATTAAGTTCAATCAGTGCAGCGCTTGTAACAACAACGACTGGTGTTTTGTTATTCCAGGCTGGCCTAGTGAAGAAAAGATCAATCCTGCCTTCTGGACTTGTTGCAATCGATGCAAATGGCACCGTGAGAGTGTTTTTTGGTTCAAGGTGATGCGTGTCTATGTTGTGCCAGGGAATCCATACCCTTATAATTAGTTGGAGTATGTTTCTACGGTTTTTATGCGTGTCTATGTTCTACACATGTTGTTTTCTATTTCATGTTTTAATCTATTTTGTCTGGTGTTTGTGCTGTCCTAGCCCGTTTTATATATAAATGTATAATATTTGCTATATAGTGGAATTATTACTGACATAATTGACGGCTAAGAATGACATTTTACTGACACAGATATTTTGCACAACTGCAATCTTAATATTTGGTAAACGAAAAACGCATGCATGAAGTGAGTATGTGTCTTTTCACCGGTTCTTGGGAATGACATTTTCCCCACTTAGCATATCCCAAATGATTGGGTTACACGTTTCTTAAGCAAAACTTGAACAGTTAAAGACTTTGAATAATTATTTCCTGATGTTGTAGAATGGATGGCTTGTATATTTCCATTTTATGTTTGAAAACATCCCTTACACCTAAAAAAGAAAAAACATTAACAAATTGAAGAAGAGAGAAACTGATTAGCACCAGAAATGGTCTATTCACACGGAAAATAAAAATAAAATTACAAATTTGGAGTAAATATAATTAACAAATGTACAAGCTAACAAGTAATATAACAATAATAATAAAAATAATTTTGGATAAATAATAATAAATACTAATGTAGCGTAACCATGAAACAGGGAATTGAGGAGGAAGATGAAGTGTGAATGAGGTTGTAGCAATTTTCGGAACATTATTGTGATTTTTGTGTATTTAGTTATGAATTTTCTAAGAAAAAGTCATAAAATAATAATTTAGGGTAAAAGGTAAGGATGTGGCCATGTTGACTGATGCACACTTGTCAAGGGGTGAAAGGTGAGGGGCTGAGATCGCGCCAGGTGTCCATGTGGCAATTATTTTGGCTTTTTTTGTGCAAAAATCTTTGAAAAAATGCAATAAATAGTAGAAAAATCCTAAAAATGCCCCGAAAAATACTCCGGCCTCCGTGTGACGTTATAAAACGAGGGGAACCCATAGATCATCCATTTCGCAATTAAAAATTCAAAAATGATTTACATAACTCACTTTCCTCTTAACCCTAAGTATATATGTTGTTCACTTTAACTTCAATAACCTACTTCAACAAGCATCTCCCGTTAATGTTCGGAATTGTTTTTTAAAATGCGTAACCACTAATCGGGGAATTCAGCAAGGGAGATGGAGTGTCAATGAGGTCGTAGCAATTTTCGGAACATTATTGTGATTTTTGTGTATTTAGTTATGAATTTTCTAAGAAAAAGTCATAAAATAATAATTTAGGGTAAAAGGTAAGGATGTGGCCATGTTGACTGACGCACACCTGTCAAGGGGTGAAAGGTGAGGGGCTGAGATCGCGCCAGGTGTCCATGTGGCAATTATTTTGGCTTTTTTAGTGCAAAAATCTTTGAAAAAATGCAATAAATAGTAGAAAAATCCTAAAAATGCCCCGAAAAATACTCCGGCCTCCGTGTGACGTTATAAAACGAGGGGAACCCATAGATCATCCATTTCGCAATTAAAAATTCAAAAATGATTTACATAACTCACTTTCCTCTTAACCCTAAGTATATATGTTGTTCACTTTAACAAGTATATTTCCTTAATATTCGTTATATAATTTGTACTAATACAAGAATTAGTTTCCTTTCATATATAAGGATGTAAAATTATCTGTTTTGGTTATAATAATGTACATATATAATAAATGCACCACTACTTGGAAGCCATAATTGGAACTGCGCATGCGCCTAGAGCTTTGAAGACGTCAGATATAGTCAATAAGTTGTCCATATGCACCTGCACCTAGAGTTTTCAACACGTCGGCGGTATTCAATAAGTTGTCCTTATGACGCCGCATTGGGAATCAGTAATATATTTTCTATCATGTCCAATCGCATAAACATATAATATAAAGAAATAAAGCAATAGTAGGAGATGAACCAGTACAAAAAACAATATATAACTGGTACAAAATAATGCCATAACCTTGTCACAAAACCAGTCACACATGCTTTTCCATAAACCTTACCCTAACATATAATACATAAAGGCAACATTGCATATGATGCAACCATGTCCAAATCTGATACGTGATCACAAAAAAATGGACATGGCAGCAACATATGACTGAAGTAGATGGGCACTTTGCATCGTGTTATCGTAATTAAAGACATGAAAATATGAAGGTTGAAATCTTCTATAGTAGTAAGCATCAAAATAGGTTTGAAGCAGAGCTTAACGAAAATTCCAGTTCCTCTGATTTGCCTCTACTCAAACACGATAACCAAAATGGTCACTTCCCTTGCTGAGTATATTTGTTAACGTCGGAAACGGTAATAGATGACCAATCAAACCCGGGTACGACGAGTTTTGCATAGGACCGGAAGTAGTCGAATCCAGCTTGCATCACACGCTTCTTTGACTCCTTTGCATTAGATGAGTTCTTGTATTTTTGAACAGCTACACTCCGAAGTCGTTTGTGTCTACGCTTCATGCGCTGCAACTTCGCCCTATCCAGATTGGCCTGCCTTTTGTCATCTTCAATTTGGCCTTCAACAAATTCCAAACGTACCCTTGCCCTTTGGATTTCATCACCAAGTTGAAGATGCCTCTCCTTCCAGAAAGCAAGAACTCTTTCAGACTCAAAACTTCCAACAAAATGGTCATTCTGTCTAGGAAAGTGACATTGCTTGTCTGGTGACTCACTTGCGTTTCGAAGGCGGTCTTTGTTTGGAGGGGTGTTTATTACGCTCACATCAAACTTGGTTAGTAAATCCATTAAATGGGGGGAGAGAGTTTCTGTGGAGGAGAGAGTTTCAGTAGATGGAGACACATTCGGTGGAGGAGTGAGTTTTTTGTGGAGGGAGAATTTTTATGAAGGGGGTGATAGTAATACCAATAAAAAAGGGTTCCCGCCAAAAAAAACATTTGGTTGACAATGTATAAATGAAAAAAGGTCTCATACAAGCTAAGTTTAATCCTAACTAGTTTGTTTAGTTTGGTTGGGTTCACTAACTAGATGTCACTTCCATTGAGTTTCTTTCAACCACTAACAGTGGTGTAAGGAGAGTGTGAGGTTGACATGCTTGAAAAGCAAAACCTGACACCTGTTTTTTTAAAATTGAAATAAAGTAGATATGTTGACTACACGCAAGCTTTGGTCTGTTGGTCTATAAAGCTATGTTCCATTTCTCAAACGAAATTGCATCTGCAATCCTCATCCTCCAAAACAAATAGGATTATTCAAGTATGTCAACCTCTTCAGGCGCCAACAACACAATCGAAGATGAAAAATTGGAGTCGCAGGTTCCGTTTCCACGTTGTACTCGCCGACCCCTTCCATTTTCAACATCATTTGGGAGTGAGGGGGACTCCGATGATCCATTAGAGGCAATAGATGCTGTCAGTACCAAGCTGGATTATAATTCCAGACTGATCAATTCATGGCACGAGAAATGTGTTGAAGACGAGGCCATTTTGGCTGATCTTAACATTAGAGTGAACAAAGCGTTCTCCCAAAGAACAAGTACTTGAAGCTGAGTCATAAAAGGAAGCTGAAAGCTGAGGAGTTGGATGCAGTAATGAATGATGAAATTAAAGGTTGTTTGATGAACCATATGCGATGCGAAGAGCACCACAGTGAACTGGAGTTGGCATTCAACGAAGGATTCGAAAAATTCCGAGCATTCGCGGCAACAACTCATACAAGTTATAATTGGGACTATGTGTCCCCTGATGCTGTGAGAGAGATACTAGACGATGGTGGTGACATGAATGAGCATAAGCACGTCAAAGCTGCTCGGAAGAAGCCGACCGATACGGCTAAGTGATTGCGGCTACAGCTGTTCTGTTGGTTGGGGGTGATCGTGGTATTGCACAAATTAGAACTATGTTCCCTTAATGTCATTATCTAATATAAATAATACAAATATCAGTTTCATTTGCTTCATATATAATTATTGGGACTATGTCTTGCAAGTCATCATGTGTTCCTTCTGTCTAACATTATATTTTGCAACTATGGAAATATTATTCAATAAGCAGTCAATATCACAGCACCCTGGTAATCAGTAAAGCCCCATTATCATGACACGTGAGTCATAAGTAAAATGCCATGTGCTATACATTGTGTAGTGAATGGTTTATGGTTTATGTATATATAATAAAATTCCAAATATTGCTGAATATTTATTTTGTCTAAATCACTGGGGACATGAGTGACCATAAGCACGCGAGACCTGCTAAGAAGAAGCTGACCAATACGACCTAGTGATTGTGGCTACCGTTGTTCAGTTTATTGGGGAGATCGTGCTATTGCTAAGAGGGAGCACATAAAATGCTTTGCAATCAAATTTTCTTTTGTGTGTGGAATTATGAGTAGTTCAAATGTTAGTGTACCCTTTAATATTACCCAACCATTCGAAATGTGATTAGCTGCAATGTACTTTTTTACACGTTGCTTTCTAATCTTTCTGTTCCAACAAAGTGCTTCAAGTATCCTTCAGCTACGAATGTTTGCAAAATCGTGCACCTAATAACCAGTCCAGCTCAGATCTTAATCACCAGTAAAACACTAGAACATAACATTCGCAAAAAGTGGGTGCTGCTACAAATGATGCGTGCTGCTGGAAATCATTACTGGTAATGGAAACAATAGCTGGCTGCTGGAAATGCTGCATTAGCCTGTCATATAATCAATAAATCTCTATTCAAACATAATTCACCATAAACTACCCATTTTACAAGGTAAAAGTCATTGCTTGTTCACATAAATCAAAATTTGATGCTTTATCTAATGTCCATGAAAATTTCTAAATAGGGAGAAGACGTAAAATTAACATGTGTCCAAATTTCATGCAAGAATGAAACCAAGCAAATTTTCATTTCAATTATCAATGGACATAGTCAGAGCTCATCGGTGGACATGAACAAAAAATAATAATAATAAAACTGCATCTACAAAACTTCACCTGATCATTAGTCTTCATAATAACCGGGCTTCGTATAATAGAAACCTAAATCATTGAGTTGGTCCGTGCATCCTGTAAAATTCGTCAAATAATGGGTCACTAAGATCTATTGGAGTTGATTCGTCATTGTTCGACGGTGATGTCCTGCATAAACATGAAACAGAAGCACATAAGAACTTTACCTATTCAAATTTTAGGTCTTATTATAAATAGTGTTAACATCTTACGGTGTGTTCAAATTTCTTGGGCATTGTCTTCTATCATGACCAATGTGTCCACACTCCCGACAGTGTCTAATCCCTCGCTTCATTGCCTTTTCCTTTGCTCCCGTTACTCGTTTCGACCCTCCATTGCACCTTACTCTCTTAGGGTCTTTCATATATTGTGTTTGAGAGCTGGACCCTCCAACTTCGTTATTACTTGGTCCATCCTTCAACAACTTCAACTTCACCTGCAAACTTTTTAGAGTCTCTGACAGTAGCTCACATCCTTCTTCACACATTAATGCATCCTCAACCACATCTGAAGCAAGTCGGGACATTGTACTCCGCTTTATTAAAAGACCAGGATCTGCAGAGTCTTTAATTTCGTTGCCATTTGCATCTGACACCAATCCAAATTTCGCAGTTTTCTTCCACCTCTTCAAAATGTATTTATCGGGCATATATTCAATCTGGTCCCTTCTGAACAATGCTAGGATGTGCTTGCAAATAATTCCAACAAATTCAAATCTTTTGCAGCTACACGATGCGTGGTCAGAATCTTTGACATATACGACTTCTGCCACTCTTGTTTCCCAATTTTTCCTTTCGCTCACATTAAAGACAACTTTAGAAGCATCCTCTGTTTTCAGCTCTAGGAAACATGCTGTACTTTGTATTAGTTCTTGCTCAAACTTTTGAAACATTGTCCTTGTGTACAAGGTAGCCATTTGTTTGTTCATTGGCATCGGTAGAATACATTGAGCCACTTCAAATGCATCTACGTGATCAGCAACTAACTCTTTTTGACGTTGATGAGAAAGTGCCCTCTCAAATCTTATTATGAAATCCATCAACGAATTTTTCCTTGATATGTATTGCTTGAAGAAACCATGAGAACATTCAGCTCTTTGGCTGCTTGACATTCCAGCGGCAAAAAAGTGTCGTGCGTAGGCTGGAACCCAAGATTCCCTTAAATCAAACATTGAACTTAGCCATGGATGGTCAGTCAAACCAGCCTTTGTAACCACAATATTCCATTTTGCATCAAACTCATCCTTATTGTCAGTATCCCATATGGCTTTCTGGAATTCACCCCAATACTCCTTATAAGCAGAATGTGGTAACTTAACAGAGAACTTTGATGTGATGTGCCATATGCAAAGTCGATGAAATGTAGTCGGGAAGGCTATTGAAATCGCTCTGCTCATTGCCGCATCTTGATCTGTGATGATCGTTTTAGGTTCGCCACCTGGCATGGCTTTCTTAAACTCTTCAAACATCCAAATAAACGACTCAGTCGTTTCCTTGCTCAAAAATGCGCATGCTAGGACAATTGTTTGACCATGGTTATTAACTCCCAACATTGGTGCAAATGTCAAGTCGTATCTATTCGTGTTGAATGTGGTATCGAATACAACAACATCTCCATAAAACCCGTACGCCCGTCTAGAAGTTGCATCTGCCCAAAAACATCGACTAAACCTGTTATCGCCATCTCCCTCAATCTTGAAATAAAAAGCCTCATTTTTTTTCTGTTCAGCCATAAAATACTCGGTCACTAGTTCAACATCGTGGTTCCTCAGCTTCTCATTCACACTACATTCAAGATTGTACATATCCTTTTTCATAAAACCGATTTATCCATTCCTCCGGATTGCACCTCGAAAATACTTACCTTCTGATTAATGGGAATATTAACCGAACCCAACTGTTTTGTAAGTACTTTTGTAGAATCTGAAATACGACGGTGTGATCTCAGTAAATGCATTCTTCCTGAGGGTGTCATCTTATGATTGTGTCCCTCTGCAAAAAGAGAGATGGTATACTTCTTGCTCCCATGTGTCTTCACAACCACAATCTTAGCTTTGCAATTGCATCTACTTATTCCCCGTTGTCTTTTTCTCTCCCGAGTTTCATCATTCCGGTATGCACCTTGTTTGCAACATACAAATTCTTTTCTCAGAATCTCTTTCTTATTTTTCCCCCAAAAGCTGGAATGAAGTCGAATACCAAAGCCAGCCAAGAATGCATATCTATTATAGAAATTATAAACGAGGTCAAGCGAGTCGAACTTCATCCCAACTGCTGGTGTTTCCTCATTTCTTACTTCAGGAATGTAAACCCTCCCATTAGCTGTTACAGAGTCGTCACTCTCTGAGCCCCCAGACATTTTATCCACGTATATTATTGATCTACTTCTATATTACTGCATAGCAAATGTTAATTCATTAATCAATCATTACTGCATCACAACTTAGCAATGCATTCCACTTACACAAAACATTGCCCAAATTGACACAATACACGCATAGCCTAGCTTGTTGGATTCTGATTACACAAAACACAAGCAAAATTTAATACTAGTTACGTCATCTCTTGTGAAATAATCTGGAAAAAATAACATTAGAACCAACATGTTCAACTAAGAACTCAAATGTAATTCAAACCAGCAATTACAGAACTTCACCCAATATCCTCTCCAAATGCTTACTTCTAATGCCATTAAGCCTAAGTTTAGGATCTTTTACCTACATTTCATAATTTTCCAATCCCCCTCCAAACAAAAATAATCAACTAAGTATATTGAATATTCATAAGGAAATGACGCATTATTGATAGCAGAGCAAATGACGCATTATTGATGCCACAAATGACAAATTCTCACCCTCACAAAAACAAATCAAACCCAGCAAAATCAATCCAGCAAGAGTGAACTTACCTCTCAAAGTCAAATGACGCATTATTGATAGCAGAGCAAATGACGCATTATTGATGCCACAAATGACAAATTTCTCACCCTCACAAAAAACAAATCAAACCCAACAAAATCAATCCAGCAAGAGTGAACTTACCTCTCAAAGTCAATCGGGAGCTCCGAACTCAGTCAGCTTCAAAGAATGTGGTGGACATTAGAGAGGATTCTTTCGTAGTGGAGACTCCATCTCTACCAAAATCCAGGAACAACTGCAGCAGCACGAAAAAGAGATATGCTACTTTGCTTTCATCTGGAATCTCTTCTGCTGAACGAAAAAGAGAAGGGGTTTTCACTTCAATCATAGAATCAAAACAGGGCAATAGCTAGGTAAAAGCCATTAATCATCATACCGAGGATACCATAGATCGCAGGCCTCCCAAGGAGCTGATGACAATGGAGCGATTATAGAGTTTGGGAGCTTTGGATCTTTCTAATTGTGGATTTGCATTACATTAAAAAAGAGAGGATTGTGTTCTTGAGTTTTTCACAGAGAGGGAAAAATCTTCAGCTGAAGTTGGGGTCTCCAAACGGGTCAGATTTCAACCCGGTTCTACATGCACCCTCTTTTAAAAACTCACCGTTGGATGAAATCCAACGGCTCTTACATACCCCTCAAAAAAACCCCTTATAACTTTCCACTCACTATAGAAGCACTCGCATCTCATCTCCAGCCCTAGGGCCTAGCCTTGGTGCCAAAATGTCGAAGCCCAATCCTGGCTCAACCCACACCGTGACCCAGGCCCTCCCATGCACACCTGCGGAAACAAAAAGCCCAGCTACGCTGAACCTATTTGGGCCAATTCCTCTCATTTCAGCACCTTATTACTGAAGTTGTGGATACCTAGCTCCAATTTTGAGCCACCTGCCAAAAAACAGAAAAAGAGAGCCCAGCTCCAATTTTGTGCACTAGAGAAATGGGCTCCCAAGGGTTTCTCCTTACCAAAATCCCATGCCCAGCTCAACGAATATGTGTTACCCAGCTCAAAAAAAAAAAAAAAAAAAAAAAAGAGAAAGAAAATTTTGCAACCTTTGCCGAATGGCAAAGGGCCATGCCAAAAAAGAAATGTAAGGCTCATCACATGCTCCCCAAGACACTTGCTGAAGCTTCATGACCCAAGTCTACTTTTCTTTCAAAGGTACCTAGCTACCAAATATCATAGAGGCTAACACAGCTTTTATCATACATTCCAAGTATTAACGCAACTTCTAGCTTGCCAACTTGGGAGACTAGGGACTGCCCTAGGGCTCCCACTAAACCTGGAATGCTCGGTCATGATTACACAAAAACTCACAAGTTCCCAACCCATAAGTCACTTCTTGACCGCGAACTTGGGGGACTACTGTTTACACCATAATCAACCGAGCATATCCAGCCTCGAAACAACTAGCACCAAGGCAGACACGCCTCCTCCCCTACTGAAAGAAGACACTCTTCCAAGGTGTCAGACACCTGCCGAAGCTCTCGACTGCTGAAGCTCACAAACTGCTAAACCTAATTTCCATGACACGTGTCACCACTGCAACGACTTGCACAAAGTCTCATATCGGAAATCTACACCAACCTCCCACTTTCACTTCCCTATAAAAAAGGGCACAATACCCTAGTAAAAAGGGTAACTAATTTTCTGCTTTTTACTATTACTCTGCAAAGGTTACCCTTCTTAGCTGACTTAAGCATCGAAGAGCCTTTGGCCGACACTACACCGGTGTCCGAAGCTTAATGACTGCTTCCCTTATTTTTGTCTTCTGCAGGCTAGCATTTATTGAAGGTACATACCCTTTTCCTGCTGAAGGCAAATCCCCTTTTTCTCTAAATTGACCCTATCCGAAAAAGAGCATCAACAATATATACTTATATTAAAAATAATTCATACTCAATACTTCAATGTCATAATACAACAAAACAAAACAAAGTACTCATATTCATAATTTATACATAATAATTAATGCACCACAAAATATGATTGAGCATGAGAGGAGGCCTCCTTTGAATTAGCATTACTCATCGTTCCCTAAACACAATAAATCACCATATACATATTTATTAACACATAAAACGATTTCCCACCTCATAAAACAAGAATTGGCTTAGCATAAAAAAGAAAAAAAGAAAAACGAAACAAAGTGAATGAATTACCTACTCAAAAAGATGCTTCTCGCACGACCAAATTGTTATCAATATCTTTAGTCAACCAAAAATATCAGCTTTGCTACAAAGGAACAAAGGAAAAAAAAATATTTAAACAAAAAAATTGAAGCCAGAAATCTGATAAAACTGATAAAAATAAATAAATAAATCAGACCCCCGCCTCACCTAGAGCAGTTCGTAAGCATTTATTGATATTTTGACTTCCAATAATTTAAAATAAGATGAGAAGAAAGAATATGTGGAGAGGGAGAGAAGAAAAGATGGGTTTTTTCATGAAAGATGCAGCTGGCTGGGAGAGAAGAAAAGCCCACTTTTAAAACTATTTCAAATATGCTCACAACTGTTTCAATAACTATGTTGTGACCCCAGTTTTTGTTTTAAAATTTCCAAAATGGTCCTTGTAGTGTCTTGACTTTTGTTGACCGTGTCCAAAAATGTCTTGATTGTGTCCAAAAAGTGTCATCATCATTGACCCATATTCAAGCCGTGTCCGAGGTGTATTCGGTTTAGGGTGTGTGCACGTGTCGCAGACACGTGGAGGCTTCAGCCTGATGGAATGTCCGTGCTGCATACGTTGGCGGCTGGGACTGAAAAAAACGAAACACCCTCTCTCCTGCTCCGTGCAACTCCTAAAGACTCAACTATTTCTCAAGCCCATAGCCCTCAAAATCAAAATCGCCGCTATTCACTTTGCGGATTTCATAGTGCCACGAGATCTTAAGCATTTTTGAGAAACAGGAGTTTAGAATTAGAATGATGGAGATGAGCTGTGCTGAGCACCACAATTACGCGGCGGCTTCTCAGTTTATCACTCTCACAGTTGGGAGGGTGTTGGGGGCGTTGAAATTGGAGTCTACGCCGATAAATACAAAAGGGTATGAGGCATTGTTGGGTTTGGTCGAGAATACATCTTCTGGGGATAGCTTTGATTTGTATTATGAGTTGTTTATGCACCACGAAAATGCTTTGGAGATATTGGAGAGGTTGGGCTTGGCTTTTGATGCCCTGAAGAATCAGCTTTTTGGGTATTTGCACCAGTTTGTGGGAAACCAATTGTTTGGCAATGGCAATGCAGATAAAGTAGCAGCACCTTTGCAGGAAGATCAAAATGGAACTGCATTGGTATCTTCTTCAACATCAAAAGCTATGAGGTAAAGTTCCAATGACCTTCTGTAATAGACAAAACCAAAAGAAATATCAGACCCAAAACAACACTAACATAAAAGATCTTATAATTAGAAATTTGTTAAAGGATTAGAGATCTTATGATAATTTTCTTACTATAAAAGAAGATCCATGTTGCTACTTTAAAACTTCTGTAGCTAATGTCAGTGGTTTGTTAACAAAGAATTTTACTTGTGTTTTTCAGATGGCAGAATGCTGCTCAGCCACAGGACCACAAGGCACAGATTTCAGATTGTTTTGTTGACAACTCAAGGCTCAAGATTGCAATTGTTGGTTTTGGAAACTTCGGTCAGTTCCTCGCTAAAACAATGGTACGTCAAGGCCATTTAGTTCTAGCCTACTCTCGATCGGATTACACCGATGTGGCTCAAAAATTAGGGGTTGCATACTTCTCCAATGCAGAGGATCTTTTTGAAAAGCGTCCAGAAGTAGTACTGATTTGTACTTCCATTCTTTCAACTGAGAAAGTCCTTAGGTCATTGCCATTGCAAAGGTTGAAGAAGAATACTTTGTTTGTTGATATTCTTTCGGTAAAAGAATTTCCAAGAATTCTGTTACTTCAAAATTTGCCGCTGGATTGTGATATACTCTGTACGCATCCTATGTTTGGACCGGAGAGTGGTAAAAATGGGTGGAATGGTCTTCCTTTTGTTTATGACAAGGTCAGAGTCGGAGGTGACGAATCAAGAGTATCACGGTGCAACAAATTTCTGGACATATTTGCACGGGAAGGGTGCAAAATGGTTGAAATGTCTTGCGCAGAACATGATATGCATGCAGCAGAGTCACAATTCATTACACACACTGTGGGAAGGGTTCTGGGAAAGTTGGGTTTGAAATCGACAGCAGTCGACACAAATGGTTACAAGACTTTGTTGAGTTTGGTGGAGACTACGGCAGGAGATAGCTTTGATCTCTACTATGGGTTGTTCCTGTACAATATGAATGCAATGGAACAGCTAAAAATGTTGGACATGGCTTTTGAATCATTAAAGAAGCAGCTTTTTAGGCGTTTGCATGGTGTTATTCATAATCAAATTTATGAGGAAACACCAGATAAGTCTCAAGTTATGCAGTAAAGAAGACATTGACCATTATCTGAAGGCACGAGTGAGTTCAAATTGCCCCTCCGTTTTGCTGCTGACTTGGAGATGTGTTGTATCGTTTGTTAGAGTAAAATGGTAAATGGAAGCTCCATTTTGCTTCCTCAAGTGTTAGTTTTTTTTTTGGGTCTGAAAACCTTAGTTAACTGTATAATGCTTCAACTGGCAGTGGAATTGGGATTTAAAGCATTCCTAACGTTACTGCAGTCGAAATTCGTTTCAAAAAAAGACGCTAAATCTACTGAGTTATTAAATCCAATCTCATTCAATTTTGAGCTTGAATCTACTGAGTTATCAAGTCCAATTCAATCCACTAACATTTGATACCTAGAATTGGATTGGATAAGTCATTAAATCTAGTATATGTTGGAGGAAATCAACGTAGAGGTGAACAATTTTTCATTTTGAAGGAATTATGATGTATAAATTATAAGGTGTTGACAAGATATCACACCATTTCATAAGTAATTCATCTTCTACTTTTCTTTTTAGTTATTTTTTATTTTTTTGGATGAACTACCTTCATTTTCATTTCTTCCTTTGACATGCTTTAAAAAATATAGCGAGTTATCCTAAAGATTTTTTCTTACGCTACTCATTTTCTTGAAAGTGGCTGACATAAGTTTTCGTCTCCCAGAAAATTACAGAAAACATAATAATAATAAACGAATAAATAAAAACTAAAACCTCACAATACAACCAACATTAAACACAGAAGGAAAAAGCATTTATGTACATTGTCACAAATTTACTGTAATTTTAGCAGGCTGTACACTTTACTTTAATAAATTATTGGCATCATTGTCGACCTTACCCCGATGGTTAAGATCTTTCAGAAGTGAAGTTAAGGCAGTTTGCAACCATCTAGCATAGCGCAGGAGAACTTGACAGCATCAAGGCACTAGGTCCGCTCATCACCCAAAAAAGGTAGAATAACACAAACAATACGTCAATACACAGTGGAAACTCGACAAACTAGAATGTTAGATTCTTCTTACATGCAGGCAAGTTTTCCCAACTAAGTACCATAACAGTCGGTCATATTTGTGGCGATATGATTGTATGAACCACAACACTCGAGGTTTTGGTGAATGTAGTAATTTGAATTTCAGCAAAATGTACATTTCCAAAACATCAGGGTTTAGGTAGTTGACGTTGTCTGATTATGAGAAGAAAAAATATTTCCAGCATCAGCCTTTGTGCTAGCTTTCCCCTTAACATTGCTTGCATCATCTGTAGGAACCTCAGCAGTGAGCCTTCCCATCTTCTTCTGCAGATCAGCAAGCGGATCACTTGATACTTTTCCTTTGGAACTTTTCTTTGCACTGCCAAACTTGAGCTCCAACCTATATAGTGCACAGGCATCTGAGTTGTTGACCTCATATTCAAACAAATGCCACTCTCTATCGCTTGAAGGCTGTGGGTCCATATAATAGGACCTTTTCTGCCCCCCAAATTCCTTCATAACCTGCTTTCTTGATTCATGCCAACCACGCCCATTATAGTCTGGCAATGACCTCTGCTTTCTATTTCCACTCTCAAAGGCCCTTCTAGGCTTACCAAAAAAAAGCCACTCCCTAATCGTTTCACCATCAAGAAAGGAAAGATCAATAGCTCTGCAATATTGAAATCCAATCAGTCAAAAATAAGAAGATAACAAGCTACAGCACAATGAATCAAAGAATGACAGCCAACAGGAAAAAGAAACCAAACAGAAAATATAAATAGGTTGATAGTAGTGAGTGATGTGGTAAATGTTCATGGAGGGTAACAACCAAAAAGAAAAAATAGAAAAAAAAAAAAAAAAAAAAAAAAAAAAGAAGGCTAACCAGGCAAGCATTCCATGGATTCCATTTTAGAGTTAGCAGCCCCTTCACAATTGGGGATTCCCACATCCTTCCCCTGTGTCTTAGCATTAAGTGCGGCAAAAAGTGAACTATCCTTCAAAGCAATGCCTCCAGGTCGCAAAATTGGAGGCCTTCCAAGAAGACCTTCATTTAGTGCCAAAAGAGCATGACCACTACTGCAATAGTTCTGGCACCTATTTGATGCGGGCCTGGAACACTCCCAAAAAGCACATTTTGGCCCCAAGAAAGCAGATACTGGAGGACATATATCTGGCAGAACATTTGGCACAACATCCTCTTCAGACTGCGTGATATTGTTGCCCTCAATGAAAAGCCCTTCATCTAAGTCTTCATGAAAATCAAAGTGATGATATTTTAATTGAGTAGTTAAATCTGAGTTATCAACCATTGTATTCTGCAAATTGGAAGCAGTGTAGCATTGGTCAAATCCTTGAAATATATCTTCTTCAGGTTCCTTAGAAACAAAAAATTCCTGAAAAGTTGGTCACACAGGGAGATCGTGAATAATCAATCATGAAGCAAGTATACCTACCCTTACATTCTGAACAACAGCATACTGTCAAGACTACATTCTGTGATCATACTGAAGTAAATCATATGCTTAAGTTATTCATGGTTTTTATATTCTTTTCCACGGCCACATACTTTAGGTGAACTACCAGCATTCATAATTAATTACATGCCAAAGCAACCAATACAGGAAGTATCACAATCGACTTAAAAAAATATTGGAAACTTGCACCAAATATCCCGAATATTACAAATGTACTTCTTCAGTAAACTACAGGTCACTTGCATTAGAGCATTATTCACCTCTTCGAGCATATGAACATTAAAAATAAAAGGATTTTTAGTTATTACTAAAAAGATTTGAATAAGATAATTGCAAAGTCAATTAATGAAAAAGAAAAATAACAAAAAAAATGTATCTGTAGATAGGAATCAAGCTGTACTGTATAAACTAAAGGAAAGTTGAATCAAGTATCCTGACATCTAAAATATAGGGGTGTTAAATAACCTACCACTCAGAATATGTATGAAAACAGCAAAGACCATTAGCTTTACCAAATTTAATGTATAAAATAAAATAAAATGATACTGACAAATCAATGAATAAGAGCAAAACCTTTTTATTAAAATCAAATTCTGGGCACTCCAACAAAACCAAGTGTGTGAAGTGCAAAAGATGTTATAAAAAAGGATGACAATCAACAATTACAATCCAAGAAAGAAGAAGGTACAAATCTCAATCTATTTGGTTGTCGGGAAAGGTGTATGACATGTAATCATTATCTTCACAAGCCAAAGAAATATACAGTGTCAAATTTAGCTGAAAATCTCTTTTCCTTACAATCATTCCAAAACAGAATGGGAAAACTATGTTGACCAAATGACAACACATAAAGAAGAACTTCAAATGAAAAGTTAGCTGATACAGCACAACAGTCATATACACATAACATTAACAACAGGGCAAAATATACACCTCTTTAAATGCCAACATATTACTCGAATGAAGGTTTAGAAGATCGGATTCTGGCATAGATGGTGGCAATTGCTTTAATGGACTTGTTGCATCATCTTCCTCATCTAAGTGTTTCAAGACCCGAGCTAACTCCTCCTCGCAAAATGATCCAAGGCTACCACCCTACAGAATTCGCATATAAAATTTTATATATCTACCTAACACTAGTTCACACAAAAGATACAGAATACAGAATACAAAGCGGAAAATTGGTGCGGCCACGAAATTAGGAAATGCACCAGTAGAGAAGATGCTGAGGACGGCTCATTGAGTTCGGCCCTCCACTCCCGAACCATCTGATTCGCTTGTTCCACCAAGATTACAATGTCATCAGTTCCACTCTCTTTCTTGGCAGCCTGAACATTGGTGAGCATCCCTTGAAGGTCTTCCAATCGAGTCTTTGTTTTTTCCTTCAAGAGCTTGTGAGATGGAGACTCACACTTGCCCTTGGAGCCCTTGAGCATTGCTACTCTCTCCTCAAATCCTACTAAAAAAAAAAAAAAAAAAAAAAAAAAAAAAAAAAACAAAACCCAGAATGCAATTCATTGATTTCAACTAAGACAGTGATGGGTTGCTGAGAAACAGCATCACCCTGTTCAGTGTTTCAATCCCTCCCCAAAACCCAAACTCGAAAACAGTGATTGGCTGCTTTTTCCACTAAGAAAACCCTAGTTCAACAAATTGCAATGAAGAAAAAGTGTTCTTCTTTTCCATTATTTTCCTTCTATTCTTTACGCACCCACCAAACAACAAATAAAGATGCCAAAGCTGAATTCATGACCAGAAAATAAAACGAAAAAAAATAAAAAAATAGAAGACGACGAATTGAAGATCAAAAAATCAGCGAGTGTGGTTAAAGAAAAAGACGGTGGTGTTGAGAAATTAGATCATGAGAATGCCCTAAAACCTAGAATGGAAAACCAAAAGCATAGAGAAGCACAGAAACTAACGCCAATTTTACCTGAATGTTTTGCAGACTTTTGGGTTTCGACTCGTAGTAAACATGGATTGAGTAAACATGGTTTTACATATTTAAAGGCAAAATATGCAATATGAGGAAAAAACATGGTTTTACATTTACATCTTTAAAGGCAATATATGCAATATGAGGAAAAGACATTAAAATAATTTATAGGCAATAGACTATTCAAAAACACTTTTCATATGGATGAAGGCAAAAGCATGAACTCTGGATTCAAACGAAGACAAAATTATGTTTTTCGAATGACGAAAGAAAAAAATTACTACAATTTGGTCCTCTCCTATCATAGAGAACTACAAGAATTAGTTAAAGAGATAACAGAAAATCGAGTTAAGAAAAAGAGATTTAAGGAGATAGAAGAAGGAGAAGAAGGAGGCTTACCCGTTGGAAAGGAGAGAAGATCTGCCGCCGGAAATTGTCCCGTTGGAGAGGACTGAGACACGGCACTAAGACTGAGAAAATTTCGAAGAAAATCGAATTAAGAGGGAGAGAGATTTAAGGAGGTAGAAGAAGGGAGAAGGAGGCTTACCCGTTGGAGAGGAGAGGAGATGCAGCCGCCTGAAATTGTCCGCTGGAGAGGAGGAGCCGCCGTAATCGAGATGGAAGAAGGAGAGGAGCGACTCGAAATGGAGGAGAGAATGACACAACCCTAAGGGGGTGTATCAATTCCGACTTTAACGACTTTTTTCAAGTGAGTAACTTGTATAGAGTCCATTTTTTGTTTTTTGTTTTTTGTTATAGCAAAAAGTCACTTTTGATTCTCCTAGTTTGCCACTTCTGTCATTTTGGTTTCTGTCATTTTAATTTAGTCAATTTTGTCCTTATAATTTTAATTTGAAGTAATTCAAGAATAATCCTCAATTTTTGTCAATTTTTGTTGAGATCTCTTAGTTGTAGAGGGGTAATTTAGTCAACAAATTATTAAGAAGTCATTCATTTTAAAAATAAATATTAAAGACATGAAAAAACAAAGTAAAATCTTAAAATTGAAAAATAAAGAAGAAGGTAATTTCACTTTACTACAATAAAGTTTACCGACTTTCAGAGTTCGATACATCAAATTTTTTCATCTCAGTCACTTACACAAAGTTGATTTTCTTACCACTTTCATATATGCCATCAATCTTTTTGTTAACAAGTCTGTTAACTAATGACATGACAACAAATATGCCATGTAGACTCACTCATATGATGCCACGTGATCCATATATACTATTAAATAAATAAACATGATTTAATTAGTTAAATAAAAAACTTAAAATCAAAATAAAAATCCCTCTCTCTCTCTCTCTCTCTCTCTCTCTCTCTCTCTCTCTCTCCTCTCACCCTCTGCCCCCATTGAACCTAGAACCCTGACCAACCTTAATAGTTCAATAGATCCCTCCGATCCACCCCACCACACCAACTCAACCTCACAGACCACCACTTCCTCAACCCAACCCCCAATCCCTCCTTCCCCGACCTGCTCTCTCCCTCTCTTCCTCTCTCTTACCCTCTGTTTTTCTCTTTACCCATAACACCCCCAAGCCCATCGCCATCACACAACCACCCTCCCACCAAGATCCACCCCCAGCCCCACCCGAGACCCATCCAAATCCTCTCTCTCTCTCTCTCCTCTCTCTCTCTCTCTCTGTGCAAATTTAAAAATTGAAAAAGAAAAAAAAATTCTAACACTTTGCATATGGGGGGTGGGGTTGTGAGTGGGTTTTGGGTTTTGCGGGTTTTGGGTGGGTTGTGGGATGGGTTGGGCTCTGGGTTCTAAGGGGGTGGAGGAGGAGGAGGGGGGAATGGGTTGTGAGAGGGGAGAGAGAGAGATTTTTATTTTTAGTTTTTAATTTGAAGTTTTTTTAATTAATTAATTAATTATTTAATAATATATATGGACCACGTGGCATCATATGAGTGAGTCTTACGTGGCACATTTGTTGCCACATAAGCAGTTAATAGACTCGTTAACAGAAAGACTGACAACATGTATGAAAGTAGTAAGAAAATCAACTTTGTGTATACAATTGAGACGAAAAAAATTGATTTATCGAACTTTAAAAGTTGGTAAACTTTAACGTAGTAAAGTGAAAATACCCAAAAAAATAATTCTCACCGCACATCACCCCCTCCTACTCCCAACCGCCTTGTCCATCAAACCCAGAGCATCACAACCAACCAACCATGTTACCACATTTATAATAGGAAAATCACTACATTTATAGGATGCATTTGAACGAAATTGGCATCCTTATTGCCCACCTCATATGTAAATACTAATAGACCTTCCAACTCTTCCAATTAGTAGACACTCGGTCACTAAAGCAATATGACCCTGTTGAATATTAAAGTTGCTTTTTTGGAGCACTGAACGAATACTTACTTTTTCATTTATCTATGTTATTTGTTAGATGGGATAAGTGTCCCTCGGTCTCTTCCATTAGCTCAAGCTATGTATTTTTTGGATTGTGTATCTTTGTTAGATACAAATAGACTCAAGTTGTGTATCTTTCTTTAGTAACCCAAACTCAATTTTTGAGTAATGATTCTATTGGAGTATTGTTACTCATCTTCACAAGTGTGGTTTGATTTTGGGCTAGTGTATTTTTTTTTACACTACTTAGGTTTAGTTTTTTCAACATAGTATTAGAGCCACAAGGGTGGTAGTGGCTGTGTGGTTCATACCCTTGGTAAAGAAGATCAGCTGGCGGTTCTCTAATAGATGGATTCTTCCAATCGGATTACTCAGTTTGGCATAGAGCTGCTCAACCAGTCAAACTACCTGATTTGGAGATCGCGCATGGAGTCTTATTTGGTAGGGGAAGAGTTATGGGATGTAATTTGTGACACCCTTACCCAATTTTTACTATTTATTTAAATTATTTAATTTAATTAATTATGAAATTATAATTTTGCTCTTAAGATAAGGTCATTTTGGTCACTTCTTAATCGGTAGGATTTTAGGGAATTGAATGGATCATTGCGTAGAGCACGTTGATACGAGTTTGTAGACACGTAGTGGCTCAAATTGGAGTTTTAACGAAGAAGTTATGATCAACGGAAGTGCAATGGCACAACCGTAAATATTTCGAAGTCACATTTTTAAATGCCCAATTAGATCTCTCTCTCTCTCTCTCTCTCTCTCTCTCTCTCTCTCTCTCTCCTTGACCTCACCTATCTCCCTCTCGTGCGACAACAATAGCCGGCCACACTTTGGTAGTAGTTTCCTCCTTCGACCACCCCATGCGACGGGGCTGGTACCAAAACAACCAGCCCGACGTCCTCTTCCCACCCCACCCTTCCTCCGCCTAGCCAACCATCCCAATCACCAGAAAACGCGGAAAAAACAGGCTGGTTTTTACCCCAACTTTCCCTCGTTGTTTCCGATGATTCCAACCACCATTTTTATTGATCCAAGTATGCTTTCTCATCCTTTCAATGTGATCTAGATGATGGTTGGGTTGGTTAGGATCGATTTTGAAGTTCTGAAACCTAAGTTTTGGCCGATTTTCGACTCTAGTTTCCTGCAAGTTCCGACCACTTTTTGGCCATGGCCTAAGAATAAAAGTTGCTCCACTAGTTGTCCTGATCACGTAGGTATAGGTATTGATGGTTGTTTTGAGAATTTTCTAGTCGTCGGAATTTTCTCAAGCAACCCACGCACTGCCGGCGCGTGGGCCATGTCTGGGTGGTCCATTTGGTCCTAAAATTTTCCCCATGTCGTCCGGAGCATGACGGTATGCTCGAATTTGAATTTGGTTATCATTGAAAGGTCGATCGGATTTACTCATATTAGGTGTTATCCAAGTTTGATATGTTCGGACCGTTGGATCGGCTTCATTCCATATATGTTGATCTAGGTACCTCTAGGATCATGTAGGAATTCGGGGATCAAGAATCAGAGTCCCGGATGCTCCGATTCAATGACTCAAAGTTTGCGTAAAACAGTGACGTCTGATCGTGCGATCATGAGCGATCCTACCACTCGATCTAGACCAAACTTGCAGGACGTGTTTAAGAAAACTTGTTGAACCCGTAGGAACTCTCGGATTGGAAATCAGAGGTCGTGGGCCCGGCGGGCCGTTTGACCAAATTTGGGAAGTTTGACCACACATGTGACTGAGCGTCTTCCGAGGAAAACTAGGAACTTCTTGTTCATCGTTCACACACTTGGAATCCCAGGAAAACTAGGAATTTATTTTAAAGTTCTCGTTCGAACTATTTTATTTTAATCTAGTCCTCAACAGGCGGGACCGTCTCAGGGCAAGCAGCTTTGGATTATCTGTGAGTGGACTTTATTTTTAAATAATAATCTTTATTTTCAAGACGCAAAACTATGCATAATGAGTTATATGATTATTGAGCCTATTATATATTTAATGTGGAAATATAATATTGTTATAAAAGTATTGGTAGTATATTTGGATATTTGTAGATTGTGATTATCTTGAATTGATATATGCTATTTTTTAGAGTTATTATCTATACTTTAATGTGTGTTGGGTACAAGGGAGTGTTGGAAAGAGTTTATGGAATGTGATTTGGGTTGTGGTTTAAGTCAGTTTTGAGTGCTTGTTCTTGTTCATGGAATGACTTAAGTCAGTTTTAAGTCAGTTTTGAGTTTATGGAATGTACATATACTTTCATTCTTGTTCATCAGTGAGGATCCTTCCTCGCTCGCAGTGCCAACGAGCACGCGTTTTGGGTGAGAGTAGTTTAGAGAAAATGGGAAAGGTTTTGAGTGGGATGGGTATTAGTATACCATTAACGAGAATATGGATTTCACTTTGGTTTTGACTTAGATATATATATATATATATATACACATCGGTTTTGAATGCATACCCTTTTTAGCATCGTTTTCCAAACGGTGGGGTTAGTATGTTGTTTTTAACTGTGTGAAAACTTTGTTTTTGTCCACTCACAAGTTTTCTGTTTTGCCCCACTAGGCAGTAGTTGAGTTGAGTCGAGCGGCTAAGCTGAGGTCTTACTTTCTGAGCCCGAATTTCTGTAGGACAATCTTTACTTGTTTTTATTTTTGTTGAACTCGTTTCATTGTAAACTGAATTTCTTTATATATGCTTTGTTATCACCAATGCTAGGGTTGGATGTAAGGCCGGATGCCTATTATGTAAATTGTGTGCTTCTAGATTGTGCACGCTGCTGGTTGGGACTTATTAATGTATTTTCTACAGGTTGAGAAATTTGGGAAATGTCCTTTTTTTAGGAGAGACTTTGCCGAAATTTCTGTAGAAAGTCTCGTCATTCTTTAGTAAGTGGGCCCAACATCAGATTGGTGTTGAAAAAACCACAGGATTCGTCGCGGATTCCGAGAAATTCGGGGTGGGTCCTGTCATAATTGGTAGTTCTAATACAACCAAGCCTGAAGATAATGCAGAAAACAGTGAAGAATTGAAGAAGTAGACAAGGACAAATGCTAAGGCTGAGTTTGTGTGGCAAATTCAACTCAAGGTGATCTCTCAATTTCTCAGTTTTTTTTTAAGATTAAAAATCTGTGCTCGGATATTTCCTTGTTAGATCCAGATGAGCCAGTTTCTGAAGCACAAATAAGGCGGCACATAATTCGTGGCATAAAAAAGGAGTACAGTCCTTTTGTGACATCAATACAAGGATGGAATCAACAACCCACCTTGGAAGAGTTTGAGAATTTGTTGTATTCTCAAGAATCTCTAGCTAATCAAATGGCTGGTGAATCCTCAAGAATTTGTTGTATTCTCAAGAATCTATTTCAAGTAACATTAGAGAAGCATTCTTCACAAATGGGAAAAATAATTTTAGAACTGACAAGGTGTTCAAGAAGCATGAGGATAGTTCTGGTGAATCCTCTAGTCAATAGAATAAGAAGAATTTTAGATGTCTTCAGTGTGGGAAAATTGGCCATATAAAGAAGTACTATTGTGTTAAACTGAATGAAGGCAATTCAATCCACTAAAGTGGTGATTCTCACAACTGTGTCTATGATGAAGTTGAAGAGAATTGGGGGAAATGTTTTTTTGGCATAAACTAAACCATAGATGCATTGGAATCTACTAATCTTCAAGATGAATGGATTGTAGACTCTGGTTGTAGTCACCATTTAACGGGTGATGAGTCAAAGTTTTCTAGGTTGTAGCCACACAAAGGAAAAGAAACCATGGTGACAACGGACAGCACAGTTCATCAAGTTGAGAAGGAAGGCACTGTTATTGTATAATGGAGGTAACAACTCTATCACCTTGACAAATGTATTTCATGCTCCAGGAATGAAGAAAAATTTATTTTCAGTTGCAAATGCTGTGGATGCTGGTCATTATATTTTATTTCGACCAAATGATGTGAAGATTTTTTGGAATGTTGAGAATTTAAAGGCAGATGTTGTCCACACTGGTAAAAAGGTAAAAAATACTTTTGTTTTATCTGCATCTTCATCGTATATTGATAAAGTGAGTTGCAATGAAAATGGTTCCTTATGGCATGCTAGATTGGGGCATGTGAATATAGATAAACTGAAAGTTATGGTTTATAAAACTTTGGTTAATAGTTTTTCAAACTTGACAACTTTTCCCAACAAAGGAAGTTGTGAAGGATGTCAATTTGGAAAGGCTCATCATCTTCCTTTCACCAAATCTTTATCTAGAAGCAAGGCTCCTTTTAGAATGTATTCATAGTGATTTGTTTGGACCTATAAGAACCCCTTCTTTTTCTGGTTCTCGATATATGTTAATTCTTGTTGACAATCATTCAAGATATACATGGGTTTATTTTATATAACAGAAATCATATGCTCTTTCCAAGTTTTAGAAGTTTAAAGAAACTATGGAAGGTGTTTTTGGTTTAAAAATTAAGCACTTGCAAATAGATAATGGAGGAGAGTTTATCTCAGATGATTTCTTCAATTTTTGTCAACAACTTGGCATGAGCAAACAACTATCATGTGCTGAAACACCTCAGCAAAACGGAGTTTCTGAGAGAAAAATTCAACATCTTGTGGAGACATGTAGGAGCTAGTTACAATCTAAAAATTTGCCCAAAGCCTTGTGGGCAGAGGGTATGATGTCTGCAGCATATGTAATCAATCGTTTGCCTCTCAATCCAAATAATATGAAGAGTCCTTATGAGATGATATTTGGAGAAAAGCCTACTGTGAAGCATCTAAGAGTTTTTGGCTCAATTTGTTATGTTCATGTTCCTGAGTCCAGGAGAAGTAACTTGGATGCAAAAGCTAAAAAATGCATCTTTTGATCCAGGTGGATCTTTTCAAGATAATTAAATAATAAATATTATTTAAATTAAATAATTTATCAACCATTCGACTCGAATGGTTTAAGAAGAAATGGTTCTGAACCATTTAAAAATTAATGGTTTGAATTACCTAAAAAATTTAAACCATTTAACATTTGTGGTTTAAATTCATTTATTATTTTTAGTTTTCTATTCTAGGCATTCAGGCTTGTATATAAACCATTGTAGTTGAATGAATTAAAACAGGCAGAACTCAAAGCAATTCCTTAGCTTCTTCCTTTTTGTTTCTCTAAAATGTCTTAAAATTCCTCTCGTTCCCTTATTCCTATAAACTAGGAATTCATAGTTCTATCGACTAGAAGTTTTGGATCAAGTGGTATCAGAGCACCAGATCCGAGAGGGTGACGGTGGTTTATGGTCTCAACTCGCAACCAACGCAAAGCTTCTGGAGAAGAACTTTTAGGTCCTTTGCTCGTACACCGAAAGCCAAGGTCCAAGAGAGACAATATGACTGGAGAAAACAAACAGGATACATCTAGTGATGGCGATCGCATCACTAAACTTGAGCAACAAGTTGAAAACTTGTCTGCATCAATCCTTAAACTCGTGGAGAGTTTGAAGATTGGAAAATCTTCACGTCCATCAACTTCATCTGAGCCTGATCAAAAGCTCAAGAAAAAGGTTGTTGAGGATAGCGAAGATGAAGACGACATACAAGCTGATCCAACGAAAAAGGAAGCTGAATCAGGTGACAACAAAAATTCTATTGATACCTTAAAGATTGATTTTAAGGTTGACATCCCTATTTATAAAGGAGATATTGATCCTGAAAAGCTAGATAACTGGATAGACACATTAGAAACTTATTTCACAGTTTATAAGTATTCTAATGTGCAAAAAATAAAATATGCGAGTTTGAAACTTTCAAGCCATGCCCTTACATGGTGGAAGTCCTATCAGAGACGGTATGATGTCTCAGAATTGACTTGGAAGAACTTCAAGAAGTTTTTGAGAAAACAATTTTATCCAGTTGGCTATGAAGATGAAAGATGGTATAAGTGGCAACACTTCAGACAAAGATTTGGGCAGCCTGTACAAGAGTATACAACAGAGTTCCACAACCAAGCTATGGTTCTGGACATTGACGTTGACGACTACGACGTTTTCATGAAGTATACCGGAGGTCTTGCCGACTACATACGGAAAGAACTAAAATTGTTCACCGTAGATACTATTGAAGATGCTACTGTGAAGGCCATAGCCATTGAGGCAAAAAATAAAAGAACTGACAAGAAGGATGACAGATCAAAACCTGTCAACAAAACTGACTGGCAGAAAAAGGGGAAGCAGAGCAAGGAAGGTCAGACACAGAATGTCTACTGTGATCACTGTCAAACCAGCAGACATGCCAAAGACAAGTGCTGGATACTCCATCCAGAGTTACGGCCAAAGCGCGAGAAAAACAACCAGGGGAGAAATGACAGAAAAGCCACCTTAACTGCACAACGGGCAGAAGAGCTTCCAGAGTTGAAGCAACCTGATGTTACACTTACCCTTATGACAAGACCAGCAGATACTGAAGACACGTACAACCGTGAAGAGCTGTTTCATGTGAATATCCAGGTGAAGCAAAGTGTTGTACAAGCTATTATTGACCCTGGAAGTCAGAAAAACCTGATTTCAGAGGCTTTAGTAAGAACAGTGGGTTTAAACACCACACCACATCCTAAGCCGTACCCGTTAGGATGGATTCAGAAGGATGTTGACTTACAGATCACGAAGCAATGTACCTTCAAATTTGCTATCACCAATCGATATATCGATGAGGTGACATGTGAGGTGGTTCCTTTGGATGTTTGCCAAGTCATATTAGGTAGTCCATATTTATGGGACCGAGATGCCATCCATTATCGAAGGCTTCGCAAGTATCGACTTGTGAAGGATGGGAAGGAGTTCCACATCAACGCTTGCAAGCCTCAAGCTACAAATAATTTGCTTACAGATAATTTGCTGACAGCTAACCAAGCCAAGAGGTTAGTCAATTCATGTGGGCGATTCGTTTTGTTGATGATTCGACCGCAAGATCAGAGTTCTAGAGCTGTGACATTGTCTACATTGTCTTTATCTCCTGCACAATGCTCAGACATAGGGAAATTACAGGAGAAGTTCAAGGACTTATTTCATGATGTGCAGGGTTTGCCACCACGGAGAGCTGTGGAGCATGAGATCCAGTTGGTAGGAGATTCACCTCTACCAAACTTGGGTTTGTATCGTACTTCTGTGACGGAATCTGACGAGATCAAGAAGCAAATTCAAGGACTTCTTGAACAAGGAGTCATCAAACCCAGCTGCTCACCATGTGGTTCGCCAGTGTTACTTGTGCCTAAGAAAGACGGAGACTGGCGTATGTGTGTAGATTATAGGGCACTCAACAAAATAACCATTAAGAATCGGTATCCATTGCCGAGGATTGATGACCTACTAGATCAACTACATGGTGCACGCTACTTCACTAAGCTTGATCTCAAATCTGGCTATCACCAAGTCCGCATCCATGACGAAGATACTTGGAAAACTGCATTCAAAACAAAGCAGGGACTATTTGAGTGGTTAGTCATGCCATTCGGATTATGCAATGCTCCAGCTACCTTCATGCGATTGATGAATGAGGTACTCCGCCCTTTCATTGACGACTTCGTCATTGTATACTTAGATGACATTCTCATATTTAGTGTCACATGGGAGGAACATCTTCATCATATTGCTCAAGTTTTGGAGGTTCTACGAACAAATCAGTTACAGTTAAATGGTAAGAAGTGTGAATTTGGGAAACAACACCTTGTATACCTGGGATTCATTGTTGGTGCAGGAGAACTGAAAGTGGACCTAGAGAAAGTGCAGGTGATTTCTCAATGGCCTACTCCCCAAACAGTGACTGAAGTTCGGAGCTTTATAGGTGCATGTCATATTTACGAAAGTTTATTCGGCACTTTTCACAAATTGCAGCACCCTTACATTCTCTAACAAAGGCCAATCAAAATTTGAATGGTCGAGAAACCATGAGGAATCTTTCCAGTTATTGAAACGGAAGATTACAGAGGCCCCCAGTATTAGCATTACCGAATTTGCAGAGACCATTTGAAGTGGAAGCAGATGCATCGAACTATGTTATGGGAGCCGTATTATTTCAAGATGGGAAACCAGTTGCATACCATTCTGAGATGTTTAGTGGACCGGTATTGAATTATCCGACTTATGACAAGGAGTTGTATGCAATGCATCAAGCAGTGAAGCATTGGAGAGCTTACTTGTTGGGAAAAGAAGTCGTAGTTCACTCAGATCATAAACCTCTTCAGTTTTTAACTACACAGTCTAAGTTACAACAAGCTCGCCATATGAAATGGATGTCTTACCTACAACAATTCAGTATTGTGATAAAGTACAAGAAGGGAGCAACTAATAAGTTGGCAGATATGTTATCTAGACCACCTACACCAGTTAGTTCCGCATTGCTGGTGGCTATGAAAATCCAACCCATTGTTCCTTCTGAATATGCCAAAGGGTACGACACAGATGCTGATTTCAACTCAGCCTATGCCAAGCTGGAACAAGGAAAGACTAGTGAGTTTCAATTGAAAGATGGACTAATGTATAAGGGAACACAATTGTGCATTCCAGAAGATGGTGACAGATTGCAATGGATTCGTGAGGCTCATACTTCTAAAGTAGCAGGGCATTTTGGAGTTGAGAAGACTTTATTGAATCTTCGTCGCTATGTGTATTGGCCAAAGATGCATCTCGATGTTTCACGATACATTCGAGGTTGTGTTCTATGCAACACATCGAAGCCTTCCAACAGGAAGTTAGGACTGTATCTTCCATTACCAGTACCTACTCGACCTTGGGAGAGTATCTCGATGGATTTCTTAGGTGGCTTGCCTAAAACCAAGTCTGGAAATGACTACTTGTTTGTGGTGGTAGATCGTTTCAGTAAGATGGTGATTCTCATTCCATGCAAGAAGACCGTAACTGGAGAAGGAGCTGCTAAGTTATTTTTCCAATATGTTTGGAAGCATTTTGGCTTACCTACATCAATTATTTCTGACAGAGACAGTCGATTCTTAGGCCATTTCTGGAGGTCGTTATGGGGAATGATGGATACTAGATTGAAAAGAAGCACTGCATTTCATCCACAGACAGATGGGCAAACGGAGGTCGTAAACCGGACTATGGTACACTTGTTGAGGGGTTACAATTCCAAGCATCCGAAGACTTGGGATGAAAGTCTCCCTTACTTACAGTTTGCTTTCAACCGAGCAATTCATGGCTCTACACTCAAATCTCCATTTGAGGTTTGTTTGGGTTATTTACCCCAGAGTCCTTTTGATTTAGCATTTACTCTGAGTGACCAACCATTATGTGGGAAAGAAGAAGAAGAACATATTCGAGCACATAAATTTCTCGAACGAGTCAGAAAGATTCATACTGAAGTGGAGGCACAATTGAAACGTTCTCAGCAACGATATAAAGCTCGCCATGATAAGCATCGTGTGCCATGTAACTTCAAAGAAGGTGACCTAGTATGGTTACACCTTGGAAAGGAGCGGCTAACAGGTGAAGGCAAGAAACTGAAGCCTATTCGTTATGGACCGTTCAAGATCATCAAACAAATTGGTGATAATGCCTTTCAACTTGAATTACCACCATACATGCATATGTACTCGGTCATCAATGCCGAGAATCTTAAGTTTTTTGAGCCATCTCTACTTGATGATGATCCCGACGAAGACATTCGGCTTCCATCAGTTGATGACTTAAAAATTGAACTAGAAGACCCTTTGCTGAAGGATTGTATCTTGGAGCAGAAGGTTCGTGAGACCCGACATGGAAAGTATGAGTATTTTCGTATTGGCAGTAAAGGGCAACTTCCCAGCAAATCGAAATGGTATATTCGAGACAAGGCTACCCAAGAATTTCCACATCTCACCATTTAACTTGAGCAGGAGCTCAAGGTCTTAAATGGGAGAGCCATGATCCAGGTGGATCTTTTCAAGATAATTAAATAATAAATATTATTTAAATTAAATAATTTATCAACCATTCGACTCGAATGGTTTAAGAAGAAATGGTTCTGAACCATTTAAAAATTAATGGTTTGAATTACCTAAAGAATTTAAACCATTTAACATTTGTGGTTTAAATTCATTTATTATTTTTAGTTTTCTATTCTAGGCATTCAGGCTTGTATATAAACCATTGTAGTTGAATGAATTAAAACAGGCAGAACTCAAAGCAGTTCCTTAGCTTCTTCCTTTTTGTTTCTCTAAAATGTCTTAAAATTCCTCTCGTTCCCTTATTCCTATAAACTAGGAATTCATAGTTCTATCGACTAGAAGTTTTGGATCATCTTTGTAGGCTATGATGTAAGGAAGAAGGGCTGGAAATATTTGGATCCTAAAACCCATAATTTTTTTGTTTCAAGAGATGGGGTATTTGATGAAATCTCATCATATTATGGTTTGCAAAGTGTCTCTGCTGATGATAAAATAAACTCTTACGAAATTGCTGCAATTGAGTTGCCAACATCTTCTAGTTCTCCAGTTGGTTATCATCCTCCATCTACTGTATAGCAAGGTGAAAGGGGGAGTCCTTGCAATCCAAATAAAGAAGGGATGCAAAATGGAAATATTTCACAAGGAGAGGATCATGAAACAAATCAAAGACTGAGAAGAGCGATTGTGAAACTTGCTAGGTATTGAGACGAGAACTTTACAAGCACATATTCATGTTTCTTTGCAGGTCCAGTTGATTATGAATAAGTCAAGGATGCTAAAGAATGGAGGCATGCCATGGATGAAGGAATGGCAACCCTCATTAAAAATGAGACGTGGGACTCTGTGCCTAAACTTGAAAAAGTGCATCTTATCACATGTAAATGCATCTCTAAATTGAAGAGGAAAGCTAATGCAAATGTAGAAGGCTCTTTCAAAGGGACCATTTGAAGCTCTTCTTTAAAAATTGGACTGCTCTCCAAAAAATCACTTTTAAGGGGGAGTGTTGAATATTAAATTTGCATTTTTGGAGCACTGAATGGTCACTTACTTTTTCATTTATCTATGTTATTTGTTAGTTGGGATAAGTGTCCCTAGGTCTCTTCCATTAGCTCCAGCTATGTATTTTTTAGTTTGTATGTCTTTGTTAGATACAAATAGACTCAAGTTGTGTATCTCTCTTTAGTAACCCCAACTCAGTTTTTGAGTAGTGATTCCACTGGAGTATTGTTACTTATCTTTCTAGCTTGTTCTTCTTCACAAGTGTGTTGTTTGATCTTGGGCTAGTGTATTTTGTTTTACACTACTTTAGGTTCTGTTTTTTCACAGACCCCAACTATTCCCACCCTTAGAGAGCGTTATCCAACAAATAGCCTCACCACCTACGACTTCTTTGCCAACTTCATGAACAAATGTACAACGATTCTACCTACAACTTTTCCTCGTTCTCCATACACGACTCTACCTCCAAGTCATCGTGGATAAACGACATATGGTGTGGATCATCTCAACAACGCATTGTGTTGTTAACTCGTAATTGTACGGGCCAATTAGTAGTATAGCAAGACAAGTACGAGGTCGTACCCACGAGGATTGAGAAGTTCAGATTAATTATGTACTTAGATTACCCAATTCTAGAAAGTAGGAAGTTAAGTCTAAAACATAATTTAAAGTGAAGGTGATTGTGATTGTCAAAACAAATTAAGCAAAATGAAATTGCAAACAAAAGCAAAGTAAGCAAATGCAAAAAAGGGTGGTTTTGAAGATTGAAAACAGATTTAGAGACTAGGGCATTCAATTCACCATAACAATCCAATTCTATGTTATAAGGATTCAAGTGACAAGTCTAATTCAGACTCAAAGATTGATTCTTGCTAAAGTATGATTAAGCCATGGTGTCTAGTCCTAACCTTGTATTCCTAATTCCCCAATTTGATCCTTTGTTGTCAAACCTAAATTAAGCATAGAAGAATGTTTTAAACAACCAAGCATGTATCTAATCCCTATTGTCAAATGTCCATACATACTCTTCCTATTCATAGTTCAATTAGAATTAAAGCATATGGTGTCTACTCTTAATTCCAACCAAGATACACAAATCTAAATAGTAGCTAGGCATTTCGATTAGCATATAGGCAGGTAGGCGTAATGAATAAGAACATATATTAGGTTACATCGAAGCCTTAGTTATGGATTTAGCTACTCATAATGGGAAAGAAAATTAAACATAAATGAGAAAACATAATGAATGCAATAAGAGTAGAAAAACCCTTTTATGAAGTTCTTGTTGTGTCCAATGCATCACCAAGAGCTTTTCTATGTCTAATGCTTCTCCAAGAGCTTCTCCACGTCTAGAAGGATGTATGAAGGTTAAGGAGGTGATTTGAGATGAGTTTAAGTGAGTGGTGATGGCTGAAAAAGAGGAAATTCGTAGGGAAATGGAAGAGAGGCTTGTTGGGACAATTTTGGTGATTTAAGGCTGTTTAGAGCTTTAGGTTGATTGCTGGAGTGTTTGGGGGTTGTGGGAGTGTTTGAGGGTAGTTTCTGAATGTGTTTGGGAAATGATGGGAATGTGAAGGATGAAATGAAGGATGGATGACTTGTGGGAGTGTGAATCCCATGATCTGTTTTTTTTTATAGGGAGAATGAAAGGAGAATTCTGAATAGATTTATCCCTCCACCAACAACACTCACTTCACCAACCTCACCTAACACACCAATGCAATAGAATTCTAAATTGATTTGGCTATTGCAGTTCACCAACAAATCCCACTAGAAACCATAGCTCATGCATAGCTCATCATGACCAAGCAACAATCAGCCCATTCTAGGTTAGCATGACTAAATTCATGGGCTCATGAATTGGGCTTCCCTTAAACAACTGATGACTTTGAGCCATCCGTCTTGAAGTTCAGAATGTCATCTTTCTAACCACATGTCATTTGGACCAATCCAAGGTCAGCTTGGTTTCCCATCTAGTTTTGTTGTTCGAATTGTGGATTGTCTACACTCTGTGTCTTTTTAGGTTCTTTGGCATAGTACTCCTTTTGGTCTCATTATTCCCCAACGAGATTTACGATAGGGATGTCCTCTTTCACCTTATTTATTTTTATTTGTGCTAAAGGCTTCTCTGGTTTATTACGTCATACTGAGTTTGAAGGTCTTTTACAAGGGGTATGTGTTGGTCGTTCTGGTCCAAGGATTTCACACCTTTTGTTTGCTAATGACAGTCTTCTTTTTCTTGAAATGTCAGAAGTTGTGTGTCTTACCTTGAAGGAGATTTTTCCGCATTTATGAAGAGGTTTCAGGTCAGCAAATTAATTTTCATAAATTTGCTTTATCTTTTAATCCTAATGCCTCTCAAGAAGTTATAGATGTTGTAGTTGATGTGCTTGGGATTCCAGTCGTAGATGAAATATATTTGGGTTTACCAACTATGGCGGGTCTTGGGTGCAGGGAGCTTTTCCATTATGTTCGTGATTGTGTGTGGTGTACTCTTAATGGTTGGAAGGAAAAATCTCTTTCAACAGCAGGAAAGGAAGTTTTATTAAAATTAGTGGTTCAAGCTATACCATCATATTCCATGAGTGTTTTCTTGCTACCCAAGAGTCTTTGTGCTGAGTTTTCTTCTATGTGTGCCAATTTCTAGTGGGGCAAAAGGAATAACCGCAAAGGAATACATTGGGTTAAATGACGTTCTCTTTCCTCTCCAAAAATGGTTGTTGGTTTGGGTTTTCGGGATTTTATTAATTTTATTCATGCTTTGTTGGCTAAGCAATGTTGGCGTATTCTCTCCAATCCGGGTTCTTTGGCTAGCCAAGTTTATCAAGGACGCTATTTTCCCAATGAGTCTTTTTTAAAGGCGGGCAAAGGATGAAATTTGTCTTATATATGGAGTTCTCTTCTGTGGGGTCGGGAGTTACTTGAAAGCGAGCTTGGTTGGAGGGTTGGGGATGGTCTTTGTATTATAATTTATTCAGATGCTTGGTTACCTTGCTCTACCAATTTACGGATTTCCTCTCCCTCACTTCTTTTGCTTGATGATTCTGTCAGCGCTCTCATACATGTTGATGGCTGTTGGGATTTTAATTTAATTGAGCAGGTTTTTTGGGCTTCTAAAGCTGTTACTATTATGTCCATTCTTTTATCAAGTTTTCCCGTCCCAGAATTTATCATTTTCAAAAAATGGTATCTATAGTGTCAAAAGTGGCTACCAAGTTGCACAAGATGCTACATTGCGTACTGATAGGGGTATAGGAACTTCTCATGGTGGCAGGGACACACTTTGGACCTCCGTCCAATCTTTGCCAATTCCTAATAAGATTAAAATTTTCTTGTGGCGATCTTTGCATGGTCTCTTACCTTGCATGGCTAATCTTTTTTATTGTAAAATTGTTCCTAATCCAATTTGTTTTCGTTGCACCATAAAGCTAAAGACAATTAAACATGTTTTATGGTGTTGTTCGTCAACAAAAGAGGTTTGGCTACTTTCTCCTTTCTCTTATTTGGGGGGTGAATGGTCTGGTCTTAGCCTTTCTAAATTGTTTCGTTATGCTACAAAAATTCTCTCTCAACAAGAAATGGTCATGATCTCATATTTGTGTTGGAGTATTTGGCATAGTCGAAATCAGTGTTGGTTTCATGGTACTTCTGTCCTTGCATCAACTTTAGTTACTCGTACTTGTGCTCTAGTTACTGAATTTTAGCAGGCAAATAAGAAGGAATCACTTCCCCATCCTACCCCTGTCTTGGATTGTTGTTGGGTAAGGCCTTGTGGTCCATTTGTGAATTTGAATGTGGATAGTGCAGTTAATTTACAATAGGGTTTTCGGGGTCTAGGCGTGGTTGTTCGTAATTGTAATGGGGAACTTATGGTGGTGGCTTCCGAACGTATTCACGATAATTTTACTCCTAAGACTATTGAGCTTATGACAACCTGTTTGGGTTTATAGGTGGCATTCAGATGGGTTTTGAGTCTCTTGTTCTAGAAATGGATGCTCAAGAGGTGATTAGATGTTTGAATGCTTTAGGGGAATGTTTGGATTCTGATGGTGCATTAGTAGTAGAAGCGCAAACCTATCTAAAGCTTTTTCCTGTTGTGATTTGTCAATATGCTTCCCTTTGTTGTAATCAAGTGGCACATTGCTTGGCTAGGCGTGCCTTATTATGTTCAGATTTTCATGTTTGGATTGAAGAGGGGACTATGTGGTTGTCAACTGAATTACTATTTGATGTGTTTGATGTTCGATTTAAATGTTCTTCAAGATCGTTGCTGGTTAGGTTACTTTTCAACTTATTTTCTCCTCAATCTCTTTTCTAGTTTTATTGATTCTTCTTGTTCCTTGTTGTTGTTGATCATAATTCTGCCTCTGTTTCATATTTGCTTTTGATTCTTTTACTTTTGATGCATCGATATTGTTTATAACAGTTTTTTTCGATCTTTCTGGTGCATATATTGGTTTTGCTTATCCTTGCTTGTTAATGTTTTGTTGTCCTAGCTTTTGTTATCTTGGTTTTTGTATTATATATATTGATTTGTTCTTTACTTCTATTATGAAATTACCTGTAGGATGACTAAAATTGAACACTTATCCTAGACCCAATCTAGATAAAGTTTACCGACTTCTTCGTAACTCAAGTTCGACACTCCTTATGTTGAATGCAATACTGGTCGTGATTGCTTCAAGCTCACCGGAGGATAAAAGCCACAACAGTCTTGGTGCCCTCAACTGCATGACTCACTGACATGCATATGAATGAATGAAAGGATTTGATAAATCACCAAGCAAACAAGAACACTTGATGACTTCTCTAAACAATATGCACAACAACTTTCAAAAAACAAATTCAATATCCTCCCAAGTTCAATACGTTAAAAGCTATTTTGTTTGAAAAGAAAACACCTCCCTTTTATTCAAGGCAGGTTTTTCTCTTGAAAGAGAGAAACCTACGAGACCATTAATTCTATTCAACTAGGACTTTCAAACCTGATTCAATATGGTCTATGCATTAAGTCGCCAAACAAAAGACAAAATACTATCCAATTATGAACATGAATTCTGATTCAATATGGACTCTACGTGATGACACCAAGCAAACACTTTTATGAAGAAACGATTTTCTCCTAAAACAAGTTCATTAGGAGATAAGCACGGTGCACGTCACTTATAGAAAACACTAATATTTTAACTTAAATCATGAACTGCCAGAGCGAATAGGAGCCATACCAAGGGCAGCTGAAATAAAGTGGAAATTGAACGGATTAGGAATCCCATACACATGCACAACAAGTCCAGACAGAGCAACAGAGGCAGCGGAGACATCGGAAAAATTAGCATAAAATTCAAGAAACAACTTGGAAGTGCGCCAGGAGGAGGAAGGCCGTGATTGGGATGTAGCAGACATGACGACTAAAGAAGGATCAGCAGCAAATCGGCGGCGCACAGAGCAAGATGGACTGTGGTCAGGGCCAGCGGAGGAGGAAGGCTGACGGCTTTGTGTGGTGACCATCGTGATGCGATGGAGCAAGATGCATTAAATAGCAGAAGCCGAGACCTTTGGGTGACGGCAATTGGGGCTGGAGATCGAATTGGACTGAGGAAGAAGACAACCCTAGACTGCACAACTTAAACAATCAGTGTGAAACGCATCGTATGGTTTTTTTTTTCTTTCTTGAATGAGATAAAAAACGAAAGTAAACTAGTAATTTGAAAAGAAAAAAAAACAAAGAACAAAAGAACAAGGAAGGAAAAAAACAAACAGTCAAGACATAAAACACACTGTAGATGCAGAGCAAAACTCTCTTGAAGATATACGTACTTTCCATTCATAAACATGCCAGACTTTTGTATACTTATTTTTATATTTATCTTATGAATATTATTTATCTTTTAATATGTATCATAGAATAGTATAACAAATTCACATCCGTCTGCACTTTCTACATTCGTTCCCGGAAATATGGGATGTATCAAATTGACAGTGTTCCATGAAAAGATTATCCACCTAATTATGGGTAAAGAAACAAATGATCCTCCTAAATAATAAATTAATGGAAAATGAGCAAATCAATATAGTAAAATATTGCATGCAAACATAGTAGATGACAAAATCAATAGGGTAATTTTCATTTTGCTACTAAGAAGTTGCCCGACTTTTAACCTTCTATACAAGAATTTTTTTCATCTCAGTCAAATACATAATGTTTAATTATGCATCAATTTAATACATATGTTAGTCAATCCATCAATCTCTCCGTTAAAATACTGATGTGGCAACAAGTGAGTCTACATGGACACACATATTATGCCACGTGGAATTAAAAAAAGAAGAAGTAAATAATCTTATTAAAATAAACAAAAAATAAAGATAAAATAAGGCTAATTATCTATGTCTTTTTTTCTCTTCTTTTTTCGGTCTTTCTTTCTCATCCCTGTTAGACCCTTTCTCTCCTCAAAACCAACCCCAGATGTTCCCCCACTACAACAACCTTTTTCCCAACCATCACCTTTTGCAGCCTCCAACCCTCCATAACCCCTACTCCGCATCCACCTCAAGCCACCTACATGAAGGAATCATATATTTGTAAACTCTTTTAATTGGACTATTAGCCATAATAAACATGAATCAAACATGAGAGAGAGAGAGAGAGAGAGAGAGAGAGAGAGAGATTAGGACGGAGGTGGCGGCTGGGGTCATCGGAGGGGGTGGAGGGCTGGGTTTTTGGGTGTCTTGAAAAATATTGGGGAGAGAGAGAGGGGGGAGGGAGGACGAGGTGGAGATAAAGGAAGTGAGGTGGCGGTGTGGTGAATTTGGTTGGTTGGTTCATGGTTTGGTGCTGCGTGGGTTGGTGGGTGGGTGGTTATGGTGGATATGGTGGTGAGGTTAGGATGAGGGTGGGGTAATGGTAGGGAAGGGCCATTTGATGAGTAACTGAGAACAAAGAAGATACGAGTTGAGAAGGGGAAGTTAGCAAAGTTAGACAAGATTGGAATGAGCACAGGAACATGTATTGATGTACCAGATCGGCAAATGCTCCCAGGAATAACTAGAATATTCCACCTCTAGAAAGCGCCTACACCTAGTGCGTATCGTCCTAACCCCGCATGATTTTGATATGTTCATCGCTTGCCTTAGCTGGAGTCTTTAAACTTTGGCGAATTTGCGGTTGGTTCAGGTTTTCTATCACCTGGCCAACTTTCTGCGTCAGTGGTTTTGCCTTTTATTTATTTATTGTTGGTATAAATTAACAACAATATTAAAACCTTGCAAGTGCACAAATCAAATGATAGTATAGTAAGCAAGCAAGGATCGTCCCCACAGAAATTGTAATATAAAGAGATGTTTATCAATATCACACAATGAAAAAAGAAACACAATTAAACATAAAAACAAAAGAAAGTTGAAGCCACAAGGACTTCCACACACATGCCAACACCAAGGGGGATTTTGATTTGATTTTGTAAATTAAACTAAGCATGGAAAAGTAAAGAAAAGAAAATTTAAATTAGAGTTTAAGAGGAATCAATTTTAAAATTAGTCAAGAACAATAGCTAGGACTCACTATCCACCTTCAAACAATCAATCAATTCATAAACAACAATAGATAATCAATTTCCAGCAAGCATATGATGATGACACTCACAACAAGATCATGGCATTTGACTTGAGTTGTATGATTCTCTCTTAAGTGTATGTAAAGTGTATGGTATTTACATGAATACATGTATTCTTAATCGAAATCTAGTATGACATATATTCAAATTAACAATCAAGAATCCATTAAGAGCAAAAAGGATATGAGTGTCACAAAAACCCTAAAACATGACATTTGTTATTAGGAATTCAAGAATCAATTTCTCATTATTAGTTCTTAACCCAATTATTCATTACAAACAAGAATACATTCAATATGACAATTGACCTATGTTCTACAACAATTTAATTCCAATACATACTTCAAAGTTAGCTACTCAAAGAAACAAAATATCAGAATTCACATAACGTAGAGAAATTGAAATCATCACACTTGAAGAATCTAAAAATCGATTCAAACTTGTTTATAGAACTGAAATCATATTTAGGGCTTCAAATTAAGCCCTAACTAACAAGATATTAGTTACTCATGTTCTTGAATGAACTCAAAAATAAATACATAAGAACTGAAAATTAAAAGAAGAAAGGAAAAGATAGAAGTTAGTTACAACTTTCTCCTCTTGTGCGGTTGATCTCCTTAGGACGTGGATCCTTTCATGGGAGCCTTGGCTGACCATTTATATGACTTATATCAGATTCCTAAACCCTAAAATTCACTAAAAAGTCGTTCAAAAATTCTTGGTGAACAAGGAATCAAAATAGGAAAGTAAAGATCACAATTCCTAACTCCAGAGGGAAATTCACCGTAGCCTAATTGTCATACGATTTGGGAATCTTCGGCCTTCTAGAAAAATTGGTAAAAATATGTTTTAGAAAGATTTATGTCTTATCTTTTCAACCACATATAGTACGTAGCTTGAAAAATTTGAAAGGCTTCCGTTTCTTCATATTCAAGCAACATGTATGAAACTGTACTGTCTGCACATGGGCTAACTTTACTTGTAATACTGTACTAATTTACTCGGTAGAAAATTCTAGAAAAAAACACATATTGAACTTGAAGATGTTAGCTTTCATCTCCAATTGGCCTTGTGCTAAAATTCCTTTGAAAAGTTGATTTTCCATTAAAAACCTTCTAAGAGTGCATAAAAACTGAAAATCAGGAAAGTAAAGTAATAAGCCTTTTTTAAATCCAATTCTCCTATAAAACCTACATATAAATAGTACATAAATCAGTACATTTATGGACATATAATTTATTTTTAAAATAAATCATTTTTATTATTTCTTAATTAATTGTTTGTTTTGGTAATTCATAGAGAGAGAAAGGTGTAAAAAAAAATTATCATTTTGTAAATTTATTTATTATGTTAAATAATTTGTGAATTCCTTTATTTTATCTTTAGTTTTTGTTTAATTTAATTAGATTACTAGTGATAGGACCGACCCAAATTTGACTTTGGAATCCGTGTCGAACCTCATGCGTCCAATACCTGGCAGGTGTCGGGCATCAATGACCAAAATAACCCTTCTTGCCCTAATCTAGAAACTGCTTTATGGTTTGACTTCTACCGGAAAACCTGCAGAGTTTCCTCTGAAAAAGGCTCAAAACCCAAAAAAATACATTCACACACTTCCGCGACTACGAGAGGCTTTTTAAAAAAAATTTAAATTTATTTTAGAATTAAAAAAGATAATAGGTAGTTGTGTTCCATAAAAATAGGATCCATTATCTTATTTTTCTTTTTCTTTTAATTTTTATTAATATGAAAAAGTGTGAATTTACCATATTATCTACATTTAATTAATAATTTCAGTTCTTAATGTCTACATTAACTAAGGGCATTTTCTGATATTTTGAATGTTGTACCATTCTCTGCCTTTTATTTATTTAATTAGATTATTTACTTTTTTATATTTTTTTTATTCCACATGGCACAATATGTGTGTCTATGTGGATTTATTGCTTGCCACGTTAGTATTTTAATAGAGAAATTGACGGATTGACTAATAGATGTATCAAATTGATACGTAATTAAATAATATGTATGCGACTGAGACGAAAAAAACTTCTTGTATCGAAGGCTAAAACTCGGACAACTTCATAGTAATAAAATGAAAATTACCCAAATCAATATAATAAAAACATTTGTATGCAAACATAGCTTTTTAATGAAATAATGATAAGCTTCAGTATGCAAGCATGTGAAGAAAAGAAAATGGGATACCAAAGAGGAGCCCTAACCTTGAAGATAAGAGAGTATGCTTCTCAATATTTGCTGCTTCATAACGAAGGGAATTGAAAAAAGAATAGGAGATGTTTTTTTTCTGTCTCGTTGGCTTCCTAATAGTTCACTCATAAAGTAAGGTGTAAATTAACAAGACTTTTGGTAGTAAGAATTAGCCTTAAAAGTATTGAAAAGTCATTTATTTAACAAAGTTTTCAAAAGTCATTAACTTTTTGAATACCACTAAACTTTTAAAGACTATTTAATAGTCACAATTGAATACTTTCAAACTTTCAAACTCATTAAAAGTTAGAATTAGATGCACTCCCTAAGTCGCGAGACTTGAAAGTCTAAAGGGGAATTGTGCGACCGTGTCTATTCTAACATATTAGAATTGGCCAAAACCACTAATAGTATTAGTAGGGTGCCGAGTCTAAATAAAATAAAATATATATTATATTCAGGTAGTTTGGTACGGTTCAGTGTTTTGAGGTGTAAAAAGGGTACTATAATCTGTTTAAACCATCTCGGTCCTGTCCGATTGCATTTTGTTGACTTTTTTTCTGAACTCCATTTTTGACGGTTTTTTCAATTCAATTCGCCTCGATTTTTGGGTTTTCTAGCCTCGATGCCCACAACTAGTTCTGAGATTTGAACTCTCTAGTAGTTCTCCCAGAGACTTGGGGATTGGGAGAGATAGATAGAAATATTATTAAAAAATTACTACATGCCCACTTAAGAAAAATAAAAACGAAAATTTTGTACTATTAGATTTAGGGTTCCAATTGTACCCTTTCGATTCTTGTATAAAATTTTCATTTGTCTCTATTATGATTCTTGAATTCTCGGTCGACAACATAACCATTGTGGGAACCGAATTTTAGCAAAACCCTAGGTCAAATATTTCCTCCCATTTGGGGATTATTTGATTTGGGGATTCTTGTCTTGAATTAGGGATTTGATCCTCATCAAATCCCTAATTAATTTAAATCTCCTAAAATTAGGAAAAACAATTCCTTTCTAGCAACCTCCCATGGCTGCTAGCGCGTTCCAGCAGCCCACTGGCGAGTTCTAGCAGTCTCCCATGGCTGCCAGCACGTTCCAGCCGCCCCCGTGGTTGCCCATGTTGTTCTAGGAGCTTCACAATAGCTCCAAACAAATGTTGTAACAACTGGAACACAGGAGTAGCCACGCCATGTGGTTGCCGAAATTGTAGCACAGCAACTCGGCCCCGTGGCCTCCTTGGTCATGCAACCGCAGGGGCTAGGCGCTGATGCCGCCACCCATGACGGTGCCGCCATTCATGGCTACCTCAATACCTTCTCGGGCCATTCCCCAATCTTGGAGCAAATCCATTCGCTCCCTCCTTTGCAACCACACTTGATGTACACACCTGTGCATGCGTCTAATGGAGTCCTAACCCATACACAGTCAAGTGGGCCTTAACTCACGGGTTGATCAACTCACATAGAGGGTCAACGACCAAAACAATCTAATTGGCCAGCTACTTAGGCATATCAACTTGAATCCAGGCCCTGACCTTGGATCCCATGACAAGGAGAGAACGAGATTGTGCTGAAGAAACACAGACATCTACAGGTCGTACTTTGAACTGGTTGATGATCCATTCAAGGTTAGGTCTAAGGATTAATGTGCACGAGAGGTTGGGCCCATAGTCCAATGTCCACACTCGCTTGGGCCCATAAGGAAGTATCCATTCTAGATTAGGCCCACAAGGAGCACGAGTTCGTGAACAATTACATGACGAGTGTAACTACCGACACTCACCAACCCTTTCGAGAACCAACTCACGACGACAAGCCATAGAGGAATCCTCTTAAGCTCAACCTACTACTTTGCCCCAGGAGCAGAACAACCAAGGAGGTCGACCTTTGCAGGCCAATAAGGAAGCCAACTAGCGCTGCCCAAATCATGAAGGTCATCGACGTGGCCAGCAGGCCATGTGCACAAAAGACAATGACTGGCTTCAAGATTTAAAGATTGGTGGAAATTTCGAATGCTCTACCCTGGGAGGTAGACCAAGCAAACTCCACGCCTTTCACCTCTGAAATAGAGCGGGCTGCTCCTACAAAGTGATTCTCAATGCCTTCTATCACACACTTCAAAGGGGATTCCGACCTCGAGAGCCATCTAAAGCACTTCAAGAGTGTTATAATCCTCTACCAAGCCAAAGACGCGCAAATGTGCAAGGTGTTTGCAATGACCTTGTAGGGAGCAGTCCAAGACTAGTTCCACACCCTGCCATCCGGATCGATCAGCAGCTTTAAGGAGCTAACTTACGTCTTCACTAAGGAGTATACTTCTTATCAAATAATCAAGAAAAACCCTAGAAACCTGTTCAACCTATACAAGAAGTCCAAAGGTGAAAAGGCGAACATTGTAGGGTGCGATGATCAAATCGCGTCCTCTGCTTTCAAGCACTTTGGGATGACGATCGAATCTCCGCGAAGAAGTCTACCAAGTAGGAAGATCAGCCAACTAAGCAGGCAGGCCAAAGAAGCAACAAGTTCACTAGCAGGAACAAAGACAAACGCAAGTCACGACTACAAGGAGATGCAACGACAGAAGAGAACTAGACCAAGTTCTCCATCCCCACAAATCAAATCTTAGCCCAAGTAAAGGACAAGCCTTAGGTAAGGCGACCGCCACCCTTGAAAGGAGATCCGGACAAGAGGTATACTAGAAAATACTGTGCCTTTCATGGGATGCACAGGCACAATATGAATAACTATTTTGCTTGGAAAACGCACCTCAACGAACTCATGAGAGAAGGCCATTGCACAGAGTTCATAGCAAAGAAGGCCATCCAGCAAATCGAGGACCACGACGCCGCCAAGGAACATCCCCAGAAGGCTACAAGGATTAACATGATCCTAGCCGACTTCAAGGAATCCGGGCTGACTAGTACAAAGAAGAAAAGGAAGATTAAACAGGCCACTATTATCTCCCAAGTCTCAACTAGCCTCCCAGTGGTGGAAGACGACCTTGATCTACCACACAACGACGCCCTTGTCATCAGCATTCAAATCGCTCAGGTAATCGTCGACTGAATCCATGCCGATGAGGGTAGTGCAGCCAATATCCTGCAATTGGAAGTCATCCAACATATGGACTTGGAGATGAAGATCAACAAAACAGCCTGGTCATTGACTGGCTTCAATGGCGCAACTACGGTTACCGTGGGCACGATAGACCTCGACGGCTACTCTCCACCAGTGATCAACTTGCAACCCTTCATGGTCATTGACGAAGTCTCCCCTTATAATGGCATTCTGGGCAGACCATGGATTGGAAAGATCAATGGAATCACCTCCGCCACATATCAGAAAATCCGTTACCCAATCCTTGGGGGCAATGTCGGCTAGATCAACAGCGATCAAACAATGGCAAGAAAATGCTTAGCTCAAGGGCTAAAGAGAAGTAAACAAACACAAGTTCTCCTTGTGAATCAAGCAAATCTGAAGGGAGTAGAACAAGCTGAGGAGAAAGCAGATCCTATTCCTAACTATCGAGCAAACTAGAAAGGAAAGGGAATAACTACTCCCCAATATCAATCAAAGAATTAGTACTACGTCGAAGGAATCTGTCCAAAGGTCTCAACTGAAGAATGATGAAAAAGCACCTCGAAGAACTCGTGAGAGAAAGCCATTGCATAGAGTTCATAGCAAAGAAAGTCATCCAGCAAATCAAGGACCACGATGCTACCAAGTAACCTCCTTAGAAGGTTATAAGGATTAACAAGATCCTAGCCGACTTCAAGGAATCCGACTTGACCTATAAAGAGAAGAAAATGAAGATTAAACAGGCCACTATTAACTCCCAAGTCTCAACTAGCCTCCCACTAGCGGAAGACGACCTTGACCTACCACACAACGTTGCCTTTGTCATCGGCATTCAAATCGCTCAAGTAATTGTCGACCGAATCCATGCAGACGTGGGCAGTGCAGCCAATATCCTGCAACTAGCAGTCATCCAACATATGGGCTTGGAAATGAAGATCAACAAATTAGCCAGGTCACCGACTGGCTTCAATGGTGCAACTACAGTTACCGTGGGCACGATAGACCTCGGCGTGTACTCTCCACCAGTGATCAGCCCGCAACTCTTCAAGGTCATTGACGAAGTCTCCCCTTACAATGGCATTCTAGGCAAACCATGGATTGGCAAGATCAATGGCAACACCTTCGCAACACATTAGAAAAACTGTTACCCCAATCCTTTGGGGCGGTGTCGAATAGATCAACAACGATCTGACAATGTCAAGGAAATGCATAGCTCAAGGGCTGAAGAGAAGTAAACAAACACAATTTCTCCCTGTGAATCAAGCAGATCTGAAGGGAGTAGAACAAGTCGAGGAGAAAGCAGATCCTATTCCTAACTGTCGAGCAGACTAGAAAAGAAAGGGAATAACTACTCCCTTATATCAATCAAAGAATTAGTACTAAGTCGAAAGAATCTGTCCGGAGGTCTCAACTGAAGAAGGATGAAAACAGACCTCGAAGAACTCGTGAGAGAAAGCCATTGCACAGAGTTCATAGCAAAGAAGGTCATCCAGCAAATTGAGGACCGCGATGCTGCCAAGGAACCTCCTCATAAGGTTATAAGGATTAACATGATCCTAGCCGACTTCTAGGAATCCAAGCTAACTAGTAAAGAGAAGAAAAGGAAGATTAAACAGGCCATTATTAACTCCCAAGTCTCAACTAGCCTCCCACTGGCGGAAGACGACCTTGATCTACCACACAACGACGCCCTTGTCATCAGCATTCAAATCGCTCAGGCAATTGTTGACTGAATCCATGCTGACGAGGGCAGTGTAGCCAATATCCTGCAACTGGAAGTCATCCAACATATGGGCTTGGAGATGAAGATCAACAAAACAGCCAGGTCATTGACTGGCTTCAATAGCGCAACTACGGTTACCGTGGGCACAATAGACCTCGACGTCTACTCTCTGCCAGTGATCAGATCGCAACCCTTCATGGTCATTGACGAAGTCTCCCCTTACAACGACATTCTGGGCAAACTGGATTAGCAAGATCAATGACATCACCTTCGCCACACATCAGAAAATACATTACCCCAATCCTTATGGCAGGTGTCGGCTAGATCAACAATGATCAGACAATGGCAAGGAAATGCTTAGCTCAAGGGCTGAAGAGAAGCAAACAAACACAGTTTCTCCCTGTGAATCAAGCATATCTGAAGGTAGTAGAACAAGCTGAGAAGAAAGCATATCCCCTTCCTGACTGTCGAGTATACTAGAAAGGAAAGATAATAACTACTCCCCAATATCAATCTTTGGAGGTCTCAACTGAAGAAGGATGGAAGACCAAAGAGGACGTCGAGCTAGTACCCCTATGACTAGCTAGACAGAAAAGCACAGATCGGGTAGTGCCTAAGCCTAAACAAAAGGCGAAGTTGACCACCTTATTCTAGAACAACAAGGACATGTTCGCATGGTCGATATCTGACATGCCTAGCATCGATCCGAACATCATCTGCCACCGAAAACATATCAACCCCTCCAACAAGCCAGTAGGGCAGAAGAGACACAGCTTCGCTTCAGAGCCAGTCGCGATCATTGAAGCCGAGATCAACAAGCTCCTTACTGCCGGCTTTATTGAAGAGGTCTCCTACTCAGAGTGGCTAGCCAACGTTGTTCTGGTGGTTTTGCATCAATTACGGTGACCTCAACAAAGCATGCCCTAAAGACAATTTCCCATTGCAGAGAATCGTTCAGCTCATGGATTCAAATTCTGGCAATCAGCTACTCAATGGGCGCCTACTCCGGCTAAAATCAAATCATGATGCACGAGGATGACAAGGCCAAGACTTCTTTCATCATCGAGAGAGGGACCTACTGCTACAAGGTCATTACCTTTGAGCTAAAGAATGCCGGAGCAACCTACCAAAGGCTCGTGAATATAATTTTCAAGGAGAAAATCGGCAAAACCATGGAAGTCTATGTAGATGACATGCTGGTCTAGGCCCTTATTCAAAACCTTGCTAAGGCATTCAGCCTACTCCGCTAGTATCGTATGAAGTTGAATCAAAGCAAATGCACATTCGATGTATCGTCTGGCCGATTCCTAGGATACCTAGTTACTCAACAAGGTATCGAGGCACACCCACGCCAAATCAAGGTCATTCTCGAGATGAAGTCACATTCGACAGGGAAGGAAATACAAAGTCTGACAGGCAGAGCAATAGCCCTAAATCGATTCCTTTTGAGATTTATCGACAACTGCAGATTGTTCTTCAAAGTTTTGAAGAAGGGACAAAAATACAAGTGGGATAAAGAGTGTGATTCCATAATCTGAAAACTTACCTCACTTCACCTCCCCTGCTCTCAAAGCCAGTTCCTAGTGAAGACTTGTTTGTGTATCTAGCAGTGTCTAGCTCGGCCGTTAGCTCAGCTCTCATTCGAGAAGAACTGGGGGCCCAACATATGGTATTCTACACATCAAAAGCTTTCCTCGATGCAGAGACTCGCTTCCCGAAATTGGAGAAGTTTATTTTGGCCCTTGTAGTTTCTGCGAGAAAACTGCACCATACTACAAGCTCACCAAGTCATCATCATGATCGACTTTCCTTTAATGACTAATGAAGTGGGCTATAGAGCTAAGCCAATACGACCTCCTATACCGGTCGAAGACTACAATAAAAGCCCAGGCTTTAACATACTTTGTCGCAGAATTCACCTCATCGGCCGAAAAAGAGAAGATAGTCAACAAAAAGAAGGAAAGTTCGAAAGCAGACAAGACCTCCGCCGAACCTGACTAGCTCAGAGACATGTGGCAGTTGCGCATAGACGGAGCGTCAAACCAAAAGGGAGTGGGGGCAAGCGTCATGATAATCACCCAGACGAAACTTTGTTGGAACAAGCCATCACACTAGGTTTTCCAGCTTCGAACAACAAAGCAGAATACGAGGCATTGCTCATCGAACTATGCCTAGCAAAAGAATTGTCAATCAAGAAATTGGCCATCTACTTAGATTCCCAGCTAATCATGAATCAAGCTTAAGCCAGTACACGGCAAAGCATCCGGGAATGATAAAGTACCTCAACAAGGTCGAAGGACTTTTGAAGGAATTCCCCACTTTTACTATCCAACAAGTTCCATGGACAGAAAACACTCATGCAGATGCATTGGTAAGCCTAGGATCAGCGCTAGATACCCAGTTTAGACATTCCATCTAGGTCGAGCACTTGACCGACCAAGCATCAAAGAAATAGATCCGATTAACACAATGTAGATTGATGACGACCCCATCATTGACTACTTGGTGAATGGAAATATACCAACGAACAAGTCTGAAGTTAAGAAGGTCTAGCAAAAGGCCCCAAGATACTAGATGCAAGACAACAAGCTCATTCGCAGATCATACTCTGGCCCTCATCTCACCTGCATAAATTACCCTTAAACGCTTGAGGTCCACTGCAAAATTCACGATGACAAGTGTGGCAACCACTCTGGGGGTAGGACACTCACCCAAAAGGCTCTAAACATAGGCTACTTCTAACCTATCGTGCGCCACGACTTAACCGAATATGTCAAAAGATGTGATCGTTATCAATTGTACGAACCAGTTCCTAACCTGCTTGCCAAAGTTTACCATCCGCAGAACAGTCCATGGCCATTCATGTAATGGGCTATTGATCTAGTAGGTCCCCTGCCACCAGCACCCGCTAAGAAAGACATTATGATCATTGACTAATTTACTAAATGGATCGAGGCTGAAGCTCTATCCTTTACCAAAGAAGCCGACATGGAACGATTTGTCCAGAGAAACATCATTTGCCAGTTTAGCTTCCCACAATCGCTGGTTACAGACAATGGCTCACAATTCATTGACAAACAGATCACTGCCTTCTTTACAAAATACAAGATCAAGTAACACCTGTCTACCCTGAGGTATATGCAAGGTAATGAACAGGCTGAGGTATCCAACATATATTGGATTGCCTAAAGAAGAGATTAGAAAGTGCCGAAGGAAAATGGGTAAATGAGCTCCCTGAAGTACTATGGGCTTATCGCACCACCAAGCGATCATCCCTCCTCACATTAATGTCCCTTCCATAAGCATTGAGGTTGGTAGTGTTGATTAGAACTTCTAACAAATGAAGCTCAACCTCGACCTACTCGAAGAAGAACGCGAGAGAGCCATTGTCCGAGTTGCCTTCCACGAGCAACAGTAGAAGTCTTACTACGACAAAAGGGCAAAGGTCAGAAAATTTCAACCGGGAGACCTTGTCCTCAGAAAGACTTTCATTACTACACAAAGGCAAGGATCAAAGAAAATTAAACCCAATTGCGAAAGCCCTTACATGATCAGCCAATCTGGGGGGCAAAGGAAGCTATATACTTGACACCATGGAAGGAAAAGAGATTACATAACAATGGAATGCCTGCTACCTCCAAAGATATTATCGATGATACTTCCTTCTACCTGCTCAGTTCCAAGTAGACGACTGAGCCCTACACACTTCTGAAGTAGAGAAGCAACTACTGCAAATTCCAAAATATGCCACCAAAAAAAAAAAAAAAAAAAAAAAAAAAGATGGTATATAAGGAGCGTCTTAAGGGAGATAGGGCGACAACCAAAAGTGGCCTTCGGGAGACGCAGCCCAAAAGAAGCGTCATTTGAGAGACGCAGGGTGCGCCAAGAATTTCCTAAGGGAGGTATCTAGGTTCCTATCAATTTCTTAAGGGAGACAAGATGGTCATAAAGTGTCTTTCAGGAAGCACAGCCAGCAAGAAGCTTCCTTCAGGAGTCATAGGGTGCGCTAGGAATTTCCTAAGAGAGGTATCCAAGTCCTTATCTATTTTCTAAGGGGGCTATGATAGTAATACAATTGTCTATAAGCAGCATCCTTCGAGAGACGCAACCCTCAAGAAGTTTCCTTCGATAGACGCAGGGTGCGCTGGGAATTTCCTAAGGGAGATCCATGTTTCTATCCATTTCCTAAAGAAGGCAGGATGGTCACATGAAAGCGTCCTTCGGGAGACGCAGAAGACACCTAGAGTCCCTCAAGGGGGACCCTTGCTCCGGTCAGTTTAATAAAGGAGGCACGACAGCCAAAGTTTCTTGAAGAAGCATAAGATGCCCAAAGTCCCTCAAGAAGGGCCCTGGCTCCTGTTAATTTCTTAAGGGAGATACACGATCAAGACACTAGCTGGTTACTCAAGTAGTTCACAAGACAAGATGCAAATTAAAGTTGATAAAATAACTGAAATTTCCAAAGAAAAGTGACCAACCGGCCAAGTTCAACAAAAAGGAGATGGTCAAACAAGACCAATTATTCTAAACAAAAAAGCAAACTACCAAAGCTAAAAAGAAATAAGGAGTCTTCACTTACTTCGAGACTTCGGTAGGAGCCCCCTAATTTGTAGCCTATTTGGCATGCACCTGATCAGCCACGCTTTTAGCAGCTCCACTGCCTGCTCCGCGACATCTGCCACCATCTCATCAGTTGCATCATCCTCTCCTCCATCCTCTTTGGCCTCCTGCTCTTCAACTCCTTCTGTGTCCACAGCATTGACCTGCTCACATTGAACGAGGAGCAAGTCAGGGCAGAGCGTCTCAATGTTATCATCTCCAATGGCATAGAAGGGAGCAAACCCATTGTGCAGCCCAGCTCGTACAAATCTGTGATAGGTTCAAATTTGGATTTTTAAGCAGACTTGTGATAGGCACCAAATCTAACCAAAAACTTGTCATAACTAAGGGAGGTGTCAGCATTCTTGTGCTCAAGACGGAAGTAGGCATCTTTTCGACTAACAAAGTTAGCAGCAAAAGAGGGCGCAGCAATAGACGAGTTTCAGATAGTTTCAGGAGCAAAAACTACTCCTTTTTAAAGCAAATAAAATGTTGCTTCCTTTTGTTTTTCTAAGGAAAGACTTGAGAAGGTATCAAGATCGTCAGCCTAATGGATATGATCAACCAGTTTGAAGCAAGCAGACGGTCGTGATAGGAAGTGTTTGGGCCTAATTTGACACACACAGCCCAAATATTGGAGGCTCAGAAGGATGAGGCAAAATCCCAGGACCCAAGCAGTCTGGGTTTTTTGCGATTAAAACAGAAGTCAAGGGCCCAAAATCGAAAGAAAGCCCGGCCCAGGATCTGTTAAAACCATGACAATGCACTTGGGCTTTGGAAAAGAAGAAAATAAAAAAATCAGCCCATAGCTTCGGAAAACTGGACCTAGGCTTGGCATGATTAAAAAGAAAAGCCCAAAAAATTAGAGGCAGACCCACGTAACTGCCTAGAAAAAACTTTGAAAAGTCAATATTTTCAACTAGGTTGATAACGAGTTAATACGAGCAGGTATGAAAAAGACATCTCTGAAAATCTCTGCCACCAGATGATCAAAATCCCTTTTATATATTCAGAGAAAATTCTGCTCCAAAGTAAGGCACTGTTTTCAAGGGATAAGCAGACTGCGTTTGGAAGATAAGCAGGAAACAGGGAGTTGTTCAAACGGAAAATCGAAACTAACCATCACAGTTTGAAATTCTTACAAAGCAGTTGAAATTAAAGAAGGGTCAGGTTTCTTTTTCAAAAAATACAGGGAAGTGACTGCCTTAGGAGCTGACTATGAAAGGCTTGTCTGCCAGAATTGATAAAAATCCCCTTTTTCTTTGCATTTTAAAATAAAAGATCTCTTTCAGAAAATCTGCCTCCCATTTTTAAAGAAATAGAAATCCTGCTCCAACGTTTCCTATAAATATAAGAGAGGGTGAACAGAGCAAAGGACAATCAAATCAAACAACCAAAAATCAACCAAAGACAAAAACTCAAAATGATCACTTGATCTCTGAGAACCTTCAAACAAACTGAAGCAACTAAAAGCTCATTTGAGCCACATAAGAAGCCAGCTATAAATCAGAACTTCTAGTCCAAACTTAGAGAAATAAGTCATTCAAAACGAGATTTCTCTCGTTACAAATTTGGTTCAGCAAAAGCCAAAACAAGCAGAGTCTGGGTTTTACAAATATGAAAAGCTCAACAAATTTATGAAGAGTCCTGATAAGACAGAACAGGTACCACATTGCAGTTCTAGCTCAGTAATTCTCAAGTCTAGCCACTTCTACCCCTTTTAGACTGAAGAGGCAGCAATTCTGCCAGTTCAAAAAGCCTTCCAAGGCTTGAAATAGATTAAAGCTTTGTCAAACTCGAACGTTGGTATCAATTCACAGCTGAAGCTTAGCAGTTGAAGTTGTTAATAGCTCAGTCCAATCCAGCCTGGATAAGAAGTTTCTACCCAGGCGAAAATGGAAGTCCAACTTTCTTTTTGTCTTTATAGAGTTGAATTTTCCTTTTTAGTTTTGTAAAAGGCACTTTTGCCTAAAACAGTTTACTATCTTATCATTTATTCTGGCCAGAACTACCAATTTTGTACTGTGAAAAATTATGAAGTCCTCACCAGTCTGAGGCAAGAAAAGAACTTACTTGGGAGATATTGCTCACCCAAATTCACAATCGCTTGTTTAGAAATCAGTAACTTGGGGCGCAAGTTATCTATTTTTAAGAAGTCTGCTAGAATTTTTATTACTAGCAGTGGCACGCTCACACACTAAAGAAAGTTGACTTGTTGACAGTCAATGGTTTTTAGGACAATGGGGAACTTTACCCTACCATCACAGGAACAAATCTAAAATGGGTGAACATGTTGTTTGCAAAGGGGAATAAAAGAACAAGAGTTTCGAGGTTGCTGGATGTTAAGTACATGATAGTAAAGGAGAAAATTGCTCAAGATCCTCCCACCAAAGGAGTGCCAAATGCTGTTTTTCACAGGCATGTCTTAAGCATGGGCTGATCAGAAGACCTCCCAGCTCAATCTCCATCCTTTCACTAGTGCAGACAACTCGAATCTCGAAGAGGAATATCACCATTTGTTTTCTTCTCAGCAGGTGAAGTAGTTCGTGAGTGAACCATTTCAAGGAGCAGATCGCGGCTTCCAAGCTTGTCAGCAGGAGGCTTGAGTGAAACATCCCAAATGTTTTCTTATACTGCCAACCTTGTTGTATGTGCCGATGAGGTGCTTAACCCTAGAAGATGAAAAGGGAGCAGCTCATACTTGTGTCTTCTCAGCAGATCCTTGGTTTCTTCCTCAACGGAGACACACCCTCCGCCCCCAAAATCGCAACTTCATTTCTTGAAGACTTGACATCAGCCTTACTTTTTGAGGGGGTGTCTGGCAGAACACTCCTCTTACCCAGCTGACAGATCATCAGAATCTGGACCATTTTGCTTCCATCTCTCAACATCATGGGCAGGGGACAGACCACCAACTTCCTCAAGATACTTGCTCAGTAGCCACCAATGGCCACCACTACTCCAACCATCTTCGGCCGCCAGTCACAATGACAACCAGCCTCGTCCCACGCAGCTATTCTTCGTCACGAAAAAGAGAAGACGAAGAAAAAATATACGTGCTCGACTTACCTTGAGATGCATGGCAACTCCTCTCTTTAACAAGCAATACAAATTCTCCAAGATCTCTCTCAAACTAGAAAGTAGAGAAGTTAAGTTTGTGATGTGAAAAAGAGTCAAGAGAAGCCCTGCATTTATGTAGCTTGGGCATCCTAGGTCAAGAAGGAATCGCAAGCCCATTCCTACTAGGAACCCAACTCCAAGAACAGTCAAAAACTTCCTCCAAGCAGGAGCCCAAATCCAAGAAGAAAGCCCATACACAATTGGACAACTCAACAATCAATCCACATCTCCTACATGTCACCAAGCCTAGGTCAAATATTTCCTCCCATATTTGATTTGGGGATTCTTGCCTTGAATTGGGGATTTGATCCTCATCAAATCCCTAATTGATTTAAATCTCCTAAAATCAGGAAAAATAATTCATTTCCCAAAAAGGATTATTTTTCTCCAAACTCTAGCTCTCCGAGGCTCTATAAATATGAGGCTATGCAAGGCATGAGGTAAGCCATTCTAAACTCTCAAATCATTGCAGAAATTCCCTCCTTGCCACCACCTCCCTTTCTCTTTCTCACACAAGGCTCCGCCACCAGGTTCTCTCCCCGCGAGAGTTCTGTACCCTTTTTAGCTATTGTTTCATTACGAATTAATTGAACTAACTTAGGCATCAGAGGGCCTTTGGGCAACACCCCTCGGATGTGGTCCTTTTACTCCGATTGGTTTTGCAGGGAGAAAGAGTTCGAGGAAGGAGAAAGGGGAATCTATTGATTGAATATTCTAAGGGACGAAAATCACCACCACAACAACCATGTTTGGATTGCCCATCATATCGATCCAACAAAAATATATGGTGTTGAATGGTCATGGAAACCTTCTATTGATGAATGTCATCATTAAAGTTATCATCTATTATATTATAGCCTTCACATGCGACATCATTATAGGAAGAAGAGTGAGATTGAAGGAGATAATGTGTTTGATTGGATAGAACAACTCTTCTTAAATATAAACAAGGGGATAAGGTTGGAAAGGAGGATGAGAAGAAATCAGGTTATGATATAAAGGTTTAAGGTGTAGGGTGAACAAAGATTCCCACTTAGGAAATAGATGGCAAGATGTTAAAACGAGATGGCCTACATGTCTTATCATAATTGAATGAAGATAAGAAAAGATATGGAAAAATGAAAGAACCCAATAAAGTGATATAAAGAGAAATAGACAAGGGTTTAGAACATGATTGAAATAAGACAACAGGAGGGGAGCAATAATTCAGAAAATAATTGAAGAAGACAAGTGGAGATGGGCAACGATTCATAAAATAATTGAAGGAGGATAAAGGAATCAAATGAAGTAAAAGTAAAACTAAAAAATCAATATACCCATCCATTTCCCTATAAATATTTACCTCCAAACCCTAATCACACCCACAAGTGAAAAAAAGATATCCATAATGACTTCATCTTGTAAAGACCCTTGAGATAAACCGACAATGATGCCGGATGCAAGTGTCATTCAAACTGGAATCTTAAAGCAAAAAATATTATAAAAAACCTGCTTAGCCCCCTCCCCAGCCAACACCACCCCCACCCCCCCCCCCCCCCCCCCCCCCTCTCTCACTCTCTCTCTCTCTCTCCTCACATTTAACCATCCCTACTTAAAATCCTATCAAAATCGCACTATCTTATTGATGCAGGGCAGCGGCTATAAGCTGCTGTCCAACGACCCAAACATACCCAAAATACAGAGAATAGAAGGATAAAGCAGTAGAATTGAAGTTGGAACGAAGATAATTGAGTTCTAGGGCAAAATGCCAATAGAAACTCTATAGACTAACGTCTGAAATTATATTCATCAACAAAAACTAAATACAAGAGTCTCTAAATAGCCTATTTATACTAGAATACACCAGCCTAGAATTCCTATTCCTAGGTTAATAAGAAATCCTAATTGACAAAGGAAATTAAAACCTAAACAGGAAAATAAACCAAATCCTAGTAAGAATAGGAAAACAAGTAATAAAATAACCTATTAATTTAATATAACTAAAACTTAGCCTTATTGGCTGATGCCCACTTAGATTAGGAAAATCTAATAGATGCTCCTGCATCAACTCCACCGGGTTGGGAAGAATTCTTCCTCGAATTCCAATCGTTTGGTGAAAACCGCCTAGACATAACCTCCTTTTAGATAAGTTGTCCATAGAACTTTGGCCTTGATATTGAACCTTCCCACACCAAAGAAATAGATATTTAGAATATTTGATCCTTCTGGAACAGTACCAGATATCTTTTGCAGCCAAACTCTCAGCCCAAAAACTCTTCACGCTAAAAACCAGTAGTCTAACAAGGTCAATGACGTTCTTGGTAGTTTGAAAATTAAAAGAATCAACCCCAAGAAAATCAGCATACTCATAAGTATCACCTTTGAAGGAATTCAGCTCATCTCCAACAATTCCCCCAAGAATTTCTTGAATTACCTTTCCTTCAAATGTGGGTTGATTGTGTTGCTTCAAAAGTTCAAACCCAGCTTCTTCTTGATTCACTGCCTTCAAGATTACACTAGATTCAGCTTGTTTACTCTCACCAAATACCTTGTCAGAAGCTTTCTCAATTCCCAAACAAACTTCACAATCTTCTTCCAAACAACAGTCAAACACGGGAGGGTCTTCTAAATTTAGGGTATTGTCATCTTCTAATTTATTTGAAGCCCCCTCAACATCCTTCTTAGTAACAAGTGGATACACAGACGCCACCTTCTTGCTCTCAATGTCAAACTCATGGCAGAATCCTTCTTCAAGCGACTGCAAAGTCCACTTTCTTCCATCCTTATAGAATGAATAGGTGTTAGCTTTAGTAGAATGCATCATGTCTTTGTCAAACAACCATGGTCTTCCCAATAAGATATAACATGCGTCTGTGGGAACAACATCACACCAAGCTTCATCCTCAATGGTATTACCAATAGTAAATTTAACCAAACACCTTGAAGTGATTGGTACTTCGCTTCCCTTTTGAAACCATGCAACCTTGTAGGGATTAGGATGCTTCTCAATTGGTAACTTCAATTTTTCTACCACCTCCTTTGAAATAATGTTTTCACTACTTCCTCCATCAAAAATCATGTTGCACACTCTTTCCCCCACAAAGGACTCGTGTTCGGAATATATTATGTCGACGCCAATCCTCTTCCTCAATTTGGGAGTTGTCATCACTCGTCTTACCAACAAACATTCTCCTTCAACTGGTAAGAGATCAATAACTTCCTCTTCGTTGCCATAAACATCATACGATGGTTTTGGAAAGTTGATCTTATCACCTACCAAATTTATTCTTCTTTGTGGACAAGCGTAAGATTTATGCCTCGCCTCTCCGCAATTGAAACATCGAGCTTGTGAAGTACTTCTAGCCTTGGAATCCTTGACATTAGCGCTGTTTAGAGGATGAAATTGTGTTATTTCCTTCCCCTTTTCACTCTTATCAACATCCCAGTTCCTACCACCTATTCGGGTACTTGGATTGGCTTCTTCATCACTTCGGACGCCATGAACAGCAACCATATCGCTTTGCCAACCCGTATCTAGGTGATTGGAAACTGCTCTCTTTCCACCATGGCGCGATAGTCTTCACTCTGCCATTAAAGCATATTGTCGAGCATCTTCAAGGTTGAACAAACGGACCACCCCCATCTCATCTCGAATTGTCTGATTCAAACCAGAAAGATAACGGGATGTCATCTATTCATTAGTCTCATTCAAACCAACTCGAATTGAGAGATTATTAAGCTCTGAAGTATATTCTTCAACAGACATGTTTCGTTGCTTTAAGTTATGAAACCGCTCGTATAACTCCATGGTATAATCAGCTGGTAAAAACTGCTTTCATAACTTGGATTTCATACGATCCCATGTGTTGATCTTCTGCTTCCCCTACCAAGCACGTTGCTCTTCAACTCTCTTCCACCATTGAAGCGCAGTACTCTTCAATTTAAGCTTTACAAACAACACCTTGCGATCTTCTGCCATAGGCTTCCATTCAAAATAATTCTCTAGACTTGCTTCCCAATCCAAATAATCTTCAACATGCATCTTTCCATAGAAATCAACAACTTCAATTTTAATTCCTCCACCATTCAAATCCAATGCACGAACCAACCGCTCTTCCAATCCACCTCGATGACCACCACCATGGTTTCCAGCTTCATGAAAAGGGTTGTCGACGTCAGTCTCGTCTTCATATTCATCCTCACCACCACCTTCCGGTATGTGTAAGGGTCTGCGGTTGCGTTCCGGAATCTCCATATAGGCATCCGCGCGTTCTTGTCGTTGGAGGGCTTGCACCGCTCTCGACAAGTCTTCCATCATATGCCGCATCTCAGCCATCTCTATGTGTTGGGCTTGGTTCCCTCGTCCACGACCTCTAGCACGTCCAACCATGGTGCGGAGCAAGGATTAACCAGGCTCTAATACCAATTTGATGCAGGGCAGCGGCTATAAGCTGCTGTCCAGCAACCCAAACATACCCAAAATACAGAGAATAGAAGGATAAAGCAGTAGAATTGAAGTTGGAACGAAGATAATTGAGTTCTAGGGCAAAATGCCAATAGAAACTCTATAGACTAACGTCTGAAATTATATTCATCAACAAAAACTAAATACAAGAGTCTCTAAATAGCCTATTTATACTAGAATGCACCAGCCTAGAATTCCTATTCCTAGTTTAATAAGAAATCCTAATTGACAAAGGAAATTAAAACCTAAACAGGAAAATAAACCAAATCCTAGTAAGAATAGGAAAACAAGTAATAAAATAACATATTAATTTAATATAACTTAAACTTAGCCTTATTGGCTGATGCCCACTTAGATTAGGAAAATCTAATAGATGCTCCTGCATCACTTATGCTTGTAAATTTCTTCTCAATCAAAGTGCTTGCTTAGGGAACATTGTAATTGCAGAAATGGTAACAATTGTTGCTTTTGACTAGAGGAATTAAGAAGACAAAACCCAATTTTTAGCTAGTGAATTTGAGCGTTCCCATGTTCATATTGGAGCCCAAGATCAAGAATTTGATTTCTACGTTAGGTTAAGGGGCTGAGAGAGAGAGAGAGAGAGAGAGGGGGGGGGGGGGGGGGGGGGGGGGGGTTTTGGAGTTGCTGCAGTTGGCGAGAGGGGTAGGGAACATCAGGGCTAGGGTTGGGTTGTTGGGCACTGGGCTCTGGGTAGGTTTATTTTTTATTTTTTATTTATATATATTTTTTTTAAAGCTATTTAAAAAAAATATATATTTATATAATTAATTCTTTTTAAGGATTAGTCAGTAAGTTTGTGAGTGTAGGTCCACAATAGACAGGTCATCAGTTAACGTTTGACATTTTGACAGAGGATGTAAACTGGTCAATTTTCATAATGTTGAGGTGTAATTAATGAAATTAAAACAACGTGGCTGAAATGACCCCAAACTTTTAGGGTGTACAATGTCGTTAACCCAAAAATATAATGTCAAGAAAAATTAACAGCAATAAAAAAGTTTAGGAGTTAGCAAAACAATTTAATAAAGCTGACGAGTTGGAGGAAAAAACTGTTTGAGTCTAGACAATATATGAATAGTTATATTTTGATGAGGGAAATTTAGGTTTAGCCTTTTTTTTATGGTTGGGAAGGCATAGAATTTTGAAAGCAAATGATAATTTTATTAATGGCTGAAGGGAGATAGCACCGAGAGGTTTTGTTCTCAAACAGGCCTCTCACTTCAGTGGTTTTGTCCCTTACATACACAATTGATACTACTTCGTCTTACACACTACATGCAAACCTCTTACACAACACATATACACAAACGAACAAGAAATTGCAAACAATAAGATTTCACATGCAGGCTAACAAACAAGGAAATACGGAAGTGTTCCAAAATTGCCTTGTCTTTAGTGGAGTGAAATAACACACTATCAAACAGGACCTACATGCATGTCCCTTTTAATTTGGTATGTGTGTGTGCCCATTTTTATCTTTTAAAAAATATTTTTTTTGAGAAAAAGAATTCATTCATAGAATTAAAAACATACAAAAAACGACATGATATAGTGGCCTCGTTAAAACCTTCCTAGTACAATCTCATCGGGCAAACCCCATGGGAGGAAAGAGTACCACACAAGAGAGTCCTATTCATGTCACTTCAGACCATAACAATAAAAGAACAAATAAAAAACGAAAACTAACATATAGACCTCCAATGAGAAACATGCGAATTGTCAAAAGAAGCCTTCTATGAGCAAAATCATAGTCCTTTGACACCCACACAAACTGCAAGGCATACTATAACAGAAACCAAGAGAAAACACGCAGGAGGAATACATAAACATAGTAAAAGGACCCCTGAGAAACACTCCACTTCAACTCAGAATCGAACAAAGAAAACCTCCTACGACCAAGCATAGTTCTTTGGTCAACACAGAGTAGAGAAGAGCACCGCATCCTAACAACTACCACCAGCGTTGCTGCTGCTGCCGCCATTGCTGAAACAGAGACAAACATTAGCTACCAGGTATCACAACTCTCCAGAGGAGAGACACAATCCAGCGTCACCACACAAAAAACAATAAAAGGACTCATGAGAAGCACTCCACTTCAACTCAGAACCGAACAAAGAAAACCTCCTATGACCAAACATAGTTCTTTGGTCGCCGCAGAGTAAAGAAGAGCACCACATCCCAACAACTACCATCAGTGTCATTGCTGCCGCCACCGTTGAAACAGAGACAAAACATCAGCCACCAAGTCTCGAGAAGAGACACAATCCAACCTTACTACTGTCGTCGCCATCGAGGCAAAGACAATACTAGACATCTAGAACACTGCAAAAACAATCAAACAAAACAAATAGACAAACAGACCTAGATCCAAACAGATCTAGACTATCTGGGGAAGGGAAGGGGAGGAGAAGAAGAGATAAGAGGAAGGGAAAATATGGGAGAAAACAAGGGGGAGATGAGGAGAGGAAGGAGAAGATGGGCGGAGGGGAGGAGGGGAAGTGGACACCTCCCCTTTAGCTTCCTTCCGGTTGGTTGTCGGCAAGGAGAGTGTTTTGGTTATTATTTGTCGACCTTTTTGAAAATATGAAAGACCGATTTAGGAGTAATTCGTATTTTAGGGACTTTTTGATAATTTCCCCTTCCCTTTTCCTTTTGATTAACGAAGTGTAGTTTGGGCTATTTTCCGAAAAAGACAAATAGCACTCGTCACTGGCACAGCTGACCGCCAGCCAAACCAATCGAGGCCACCGCTAAAAACGAAAGACCTCATTTTTGTTGTTTTTTTTTCTGAAGACTATTTTGAATGGAAAGTCGTAAAGTTTGAAGTTAGTTTCACTCGTTTAGATTAGAATGCTGAATTTTTTGAACTTTTCCGACATAAATCAAAGATGCACGAGAGCTGTTTGTGGATATGCTTCAACCAGATTTCACAACATAATCAGGAGCTACAGCATACATGTCAGACGTAATGAAACGTTGTCTCTTCTCCTTCAAAGTCGTCAAAGTTCGTCTGGGTTTAAACCCAATTACCAAGTATTATCAGCCATTCTCAAATCCTGTGCTGCCCTCTTAGCCATCAACTTTGGGAAAGCTCTTCATGGTTATGTTGTCAAACAAGGCCATCTTTCCTGCCACTCTATCTCTAAAGCACTGCTTAACATGTATGCCAAATGTGCTGCATTGGGTGACTGCAAAACACTTTTTGGTCAAATGGGTTACTCGGATCCTGTCATTTGGAACATTGTCTTATCTGGGTTTTCTGCATCTCGAAATTATGATGCTGAGGTAATGAGGTTGTTTCATGAAATGCGTGTAGATGGGAAGGCTAAACCCACTTCTGTTACCATTGCTATCTTTCTACCTGTGTGTGCTCGGTTAGGGGATTTGCATGCAGGGAAGAGCGTGCACTCTTATGTGATGAAGTCTGGATTGGAAAAAGATGTCCTTGTTGGAAATGCTCTTATATCAATGTATTCAAAATGTGGGCTAGTTTCTGGTGAGGCCTATGCTGTGTTTAATGGCATTACTGACAAAGATGTCGTTTCATGGAATGCAATAATTGCAGGGTTTGCAGAAAATAGTTTCATAAATGATGCATACAAGTTATTCAGTTGGATGCTCAAAGGACCAGTGGAACCAAATTATGCAACCATTGCAAATATTCTGGCCGTTTGTGCTTCTTTAGATAAAGACGTTGCCTACTGCTCTGGGAGAGAGATCCATTGTTATGTGCTGCGCCGGAATGAATTGGCAGCAGATGTTTCGGTGTGCAATGCTTTGGTAAGTTTCTATTTACAACTTGGACGAATGCAAGAAGCAGAATCCTTGTTCCACAGGATGAAATCAAGAGATTTGGTTTCATGGAATGCAATTATTGCAGGATATGCATCAAATGGTGAGTGGTCAAAAGCATTGGAGTTGTTTGGAAAATTACTCGCTCTGCAGATGATCAGGCCGGATTCTGTAAGTATAGTCAGCATTCTTCCTGCTTGTGCACATTTACAAAACTTGGAGGTGGGGAAAAAGATCCATGGGTACATTCTTCGACATCCTAGCCTATTTGAGGCAACAGCTGTTGGAAATGCCATGGTTAGTTTTTATTCAAAATGCTACAAAATAGAAGCAGCTTTCAAGACTTTTTTGATGATTTTGAGGAGAGATTTGATATCATGGAATACCATGCTAGTTGCCTTCGCAGAGATTGGGCATAGTACAGAGTTCCTCAACCTATTAGGTGATATGCTAAGGGACGGCATGAGGCCTGACCATATAACCATCTTGACCATAATACAATTTTGTGCTTCAATTTTGAGAGTAGGAAAGGTTAAAGAAATTCATAGCTACTCAATTAGGGCTGGGTTTTTGTGTGATGATATTGAGCCTACTATTGCAAATGCAATCCTGGATGCATATGCCAAATGTGGTAACATGAAGTATGCATTCAACATTTTTCAGAGTTTATTGGGTAAAAGGAATTTGGTTACTTGCAATTCAATGATTTCAGCTTATGTGAATTGTGGGTCACGCGATGATGCATATATCATATTTAACAGCATGTCTGAAACAGATCTCACCACTTGGAATCTAATGGTTCGAGCTTATGCTGAAAATGATTGTCCTGCTCAAGCTCTCAGCCTGTTTCATGAGTTACAAGCTCGTGGAATGAAGCCTGATGCGATGACCATTATGAGCCTCCTTCCTGTATCTGCTCAAATGGCCTCAGTCCACCTGCTGAGGCAGTGTCATGGATATGTGGTGAGAGCTTGTCTTGATGACTTGTGTTTGAAGGGAGCTCTGTTAGATATGTATGCAAAATGTGGTTCCATAGTATGTGCTTATAAGCTTTTTCAGTCAAGCCTGCACAAGGATCTGGTTATGTTTACAGCTATGGTTGGTGGGTTTGCCATGCACGGTAGGGGAGAAGAAGCACTGAAGGTCTTCTTTCATATACTGGACTTGGGTGTGAAGCCAGATAATGTTATTATTACTGCTGTTTTATCAGCTTGCAGTCATGCTGGCCTGGTGAATGAAGGGTTGAAGATATTTTATTCACTAGAAGAGATTCATGGGGTCAAACCAACAATGGAACAGTATGCTTGTGTGGTGGATCTCCTTGCTAGAGGTGGACGAATTGAGGATGCATTTTCTTTTGTGTCGAGGATGCCTATTGAAGCTAATGCTAACATATGGGGAACACTGCTGGGTGCTTGCAGGACTCATCATGAGGTGGAATTGGGCCGTGTTGTGGCAGATCATCTCTTTGAAATTGAAGCTAATAATATTGGGAACTATGTGGTGATGTCAAATCTATATGCAGCAGAAGCTAGATGGGATGGGGTCATGGAGGTAAGAAGGATGATGAGAACTAGAGACATAAAAAAGCCAGCGGGATGCAGCTGGATAGAGGTGGAGAGGAGGAAGAACCTTTTTATGGCTGGAGACTGGTCCCATCCAGAAAGAAGCATTATCTACAGTGCATTAAGTGCATTGGACCAACAAATGAAAGAGCCAGTTTAAACAATACTTTGTCAATGCCTAGGTTTCTGAATGCAGAATCTTTCTGTTAGGTTGGCATTTAGATTCAGCATTCTACTTGACTGCTCCATACATGATACTTTTGTTCGGCGGTCAAACCCAATTTGTTATGCCAGTTTCATGCAAGCATATGGGGTGCTTTGCTGCTGCTTCAGAAAAATCTCAAATCTTGGATAAGCGTGACTTTCATTTGACTGACAGCCTACTTGAGCCGAGCTGATCAGCTGGCATCACTTCATATGAACTAAAAACAAGTTAACTTATGTCATGTGGATGTGAGTTCATTGGTTTGTTCCTTGGTGGTAAATCTCACTAAGAGCTTACATGCAGCTCTCACTGAGTCTGGAACATGGGTATGATTCTTACATCTTTCACCTGCGTAGATTCTTTTCACCATTCCAATGGGAGAAGCATAGGGCGTGGCTTGTGTACTAATTCACCAGTAATTCCCATAATGGCCACATGCTTACAGAAAGAAGACACATGTTTAAGAATTCTTAGGCATGCATTTGAGGACTATCTCTCTGTTGAACACTACGCTGAGGTCAAGTTCGTACTACAGACATGCTCCCTAGAATGGCCGGCCTATGCCTAAGAGCGGAAGGCGTTTACCCAGCCAATATGTTCTTCAAGGCCCGCTGCCTGCCACCCAGAAAATACTCAACTGGCAAAGAAGACGCCAAACTTTCTTCCATGAGGAGTTTGAATTCAAATCATCTTCATGTATCTAGAAGAAAATGGATCCTCCAAGGTCAGGAATGAAAACATTCTAAGGATTCTCTATACATGATCCCTGGATCTTTCGACCTAGGAATCCTTGTAGAATATGAAGCCACCTTTTATGAGGCAAATGCTTGGTTGGAGTTTGTTTTGAATTTGTTCGAGTGGCTTCAAAGTGGGAATGTCAATACAAAATATGCTTCGAACTGGGAATGTCTCAGCACTCAAGCGAGTCCCCAGAGCCATACTTCTAAGGACAAGCATTGTCCTACTTCTAATTCTGCAAGGATCATTGCCTCTTATTTGGGCAAAGGTTCCAATTGATGCCAGCAAGGCTGCAGTATAAAACCTCTAAACTCCAACATATATTCTTGTAACTACTTGCTGGAAACCAAATATAGGAAATTTGTTATGGAAATCTTGTCTTTCTTGTATCAGGGAAAAAAAGGAAAAAAGAAGAAAGAACATTCCTTCACTTAAGTTGGAATAACAAGATATAGGCCCCGTTTGGGATTGCTTTTTTTCGCCAAAAACCTGCTTCACTTTAAAGTTAAGCAGTTTTAAGTGTTTGGTAAAAATAAAATATCTCGATTATTTTAAAAGCAGTGGCCTTTTGACAGCAGCTTTTAAAAGCATGTTATGGGTTGCTTTTCAAAGCTGCTTTCAAAAGAAGCAGAGATGAACCTTTAATGAATTTTTTTAATTCCCAAAATACTATCATTTATTTTAAAAAATAACACCACCTCCACTTCCACATCCAACTCCACCACTTACACCCCCACATTCACTACCTCCACAACCACCGTCATCGCCACCGCCACCACCACCACCACCACCTCCTCCACCACCACCAACTCCACCACCACCACCACCACCACCACTACCACCAACTCCACCTTCACTTCCACCTCCACCACAACCACCACCACCAACTCCACCTTCACCTCCACCACCACCTCCTTCAAAACCTCCACATCCACCACCACCATGCTGCCACCTCCACCACCATGTTGTCACCACCACCACCTCCACAAGCGCCATCCCTACCACCACCACCTCCACTCCATCACTACCACTACTACCACATGATTACTACATAACACTTTTAACATCATGTCTATTTTAGTCATTATTCACAGTTACAACAATTTTATATTAAAACTTACCAAACGGTTTTGACACTGCTTTTGTACTAACAACACTTTAAAAATATTGTTTACCAAACAAGGAGCTGCTTTACTTTACAACTAATTATTTTCAAAGCACAGCAGAAGCAACTTTTTTTAAAAATGACAGCAATCCCAAACTGAGCCATAATCAATTCAAAGAATACCCATGGAAGCAAGGGGCTTGTAACTCAAGTGGTTAACGAGCATTTACCCCTGCACTTGACATCATAGGTTCGATTTCGCTCTCCCCCAATATCTTAACGAATATCCATCCAAGCTCAAGCACCTCCCTAGAATATCGCATCTCTTGTCGAGGACATTTGGCATTTACTACAATTTGTTCCTCAGGTGTTGATCAAGCATATCTTTCTTGAAGCAAATATGTTCGATACTCTTGCCAAGAAGTAACATTTATATATTAATTCTTGCATTTGGTTTACTAATTTCCCTTTTAATGTTTTTATATAGATTACTGTTTGACTTGTTTGGTTTTCAGATCCTTCGAAGGAATATTTGTAATGTGTAAAAAAAATCTCGGATGATGTTTTGCAAATCTCTAGAGAATTTTTTTACATGTCATCATTTACGCATTTTTAATGCAAATCACATTGACATGACATGTGATTTTTGTGTTGCACTTACGTTATTATATATCATAATAAAATTTATAGACCAATAAAATCTAAAAAATATATACTAAAACATACATTAGAAAATGAACAATAAAGAATTACTGCAATTGAGATCCCCCCCAAATTATGTTTTATTTATAATATGTATATTATTGTTGTATAGTAGACAATATTGAAGATCTATAAATTATGTCAAATGTTTTTTTCTTTCTTCTTTATGATTATTTTATAACATAATTACATAAATAAACATTTTGGTTTTTTATTTTATCTTTTATAATCTTTTCTTTATCAAACAATAAAAATAGTGAATTTCTGAATTAAAAGGGTCTAAATGGTTTGTTATTGATCATTATTTTTAGTTTTTATTTAGATGGAAAATGGACACAAATGCTCGGATGAATTTAAAAATAAACGTTGCCAGAAGTTGACGAATGTGGTATATCAGGATATGTATGAAGTATGAGTGGCAAGTTGTCAATTTATTTATTTTAAATTTATCGAGCACACACCGCTTTAATTCAGGTGGCATTTGTGAAAATTTCCCTCAAAGAAATTATTGAACATCTTTTCCTTGTCGAACAAAGGTAAAGCAGAGAGACTCAAACTTCACGTCCTTACATGGCTTGTGTTTCCAAACAGCAAGTCGACCAATTGGATGAATAATGCTTTGAAACCGAAAAAGAATGACTGAAGGTTTTTAATTGTATGGCTCGTATCAAAGTCACAACTACTTAACTAGTCTCAGATGAGTCCACAAATAATATCACTAAATCCTGAAATTCTATCTTTGCAGTGTGAGTTATAATCCAGATTTGTGTGAGCTTGCCTTATAAGTATCATTGCCCTTAGTTGAAGGACTTCAGTTTTGTGGATCTTGCTGATTTTCTGCAAAAATTGTCCTCGAAGGTTTGCGAAATACATGCAAATACAACCGGCCAAGCCATTCCGGAAGAGAATGAGTAAGTATAAATCAAGCTGGGTTGGTTCTTACAGTAATACTACGTGCTGTACTTCATTTTTTCTGTGATCAAACTGGGATTTTACCCTTTCCATTCTCAGGGCCTTGAGCATTCCTGAAGTTGAAAAATCCGGCAATTCCTCGTCCTTTGGCAAGTTGTTCCAGCTCTTCAAGTTTTTTCTTCAGCAGCTCAACTTCTCTTGCTAAATCTTCATCTCTTTGTCTCATTGCCTAGAACAATAAACAACAGTTGTAAGTGAAATGTGGGGCATGGTGTTATTATCTTCAAAGCAATACATATATTCACAAACAGTTGATTGTGATGTTTTAAAAAATAATTTATTTATTTCATTTAGCAAATATTTATGTATATAATTGTCATGATGTTCCTTTTTTTTTTTCTTTTATGAATTTGCAAACCTGACAGGGTTACATGAAAATACAGATAGACCACAGGGGTGTATGTGCAATTTAATCTTTGAGGTTAAATTTGTCGTTTGGAGAAAAAAAAATTATGACATCAACAATTTTTGGACGGAAACTTAAAAGAAGGAATATTGTGAAAACACCAAAAACCTCAAGAAGTTCTAGCGTAAATATGAAGAGATAACACAACGATTTAGAATGTCAAATGGATAGTTTATAGTTCAGTTTTTTATATAGTGTGATGCAAAACTTACCCGATGTAAGGCAGCATGAACATAGAGAAATAGTAGTGAAAATTTTGAAAGGTAAACTAAGCAACAAAGATACTATAACTAGATGCAATCATGGCTGTTTCCTTATGCTACAATAGTATGAGTGCGTACCTCTAATTCCTGTCTACGTAGCTCCTCCTTTCTTGCTTCTGATCTTGAGCTTCTTTGCACTTCAAAAATAACTGCAGCGCCTCCAACCTAAAGAGATACAATAATGATTCATAACTTATATAATTAAAAATCTCCTAAACCCTACTTTGTGCAAGGATATCTTCTAAGTTCCTTTCTCTTAAATTGAAAGGGAAGAATAAGAAACAGCTGGATGAACAACGAAATGTATGGTGTGGTCTATCAGCTGGAGAGAAAGTACCAATCACATATCATAATATTAATTCCACAGCAATCCCATGACAAGAACTTGTACATCATGTGGCTTTACAGCGAAACAAAGGTAATCTGAGGTTACTCGTCAACTTATAATACTGTAATGAGCAACATTTGTCTGATTTTCTGACAAATTATGCTGCTTTAGCATTTGCCACAAGCAATAGAATTTCAAAATGTAACCCACAAGAGGTTTGGCATTTCACCATGTGATAGGGCTCCGTGAACTATGGTATAGTGTACAACCGAAGCAACTAGTGGGTCACATAGGTGGAGGACAATTGTAACTTTATAAAGACTTATTTGGGACTGCTTCTGATGAAGCACTTTTTCTTGGTAGCCTTTTTTTCTAGAAGCAGAGTAATCTTTTTATTAAAAATCCAATTACTTCCTGAAAATGCACTTGAAAGTGCTTCGTTAAGGAAGCACCTATCAGGTGCACTTTTAACTATTCTTCTAAAAACGAAGCACTTTTAACTATTTCTCCGAACACTGTCAAAAGGGCTTTTGAGAATCTGAAACTCTTTTACCACTTTTAAAAGCAATCCCCAATAGGTCCTAAATATTGCAGTGTAGTACCAGTGCATACAATTCATGCACTACTGGCAAGTATTTAGTAAAAAAAATTATGCACATGAAGCATGCCAAATTGAATTTTATGGGGAAGATTCTTACTTTCTTGAATTGATCTGCATGCATTATGACCCCAGAAAATTAAATAGTGACCAAGTTCAAAATTATTTGGTCAAAGACCATCTAGCCAAATCTAAGGCACTTATAGGCAAAGAAACATGCCCATGCCCATAATACGAGTGAGTATAGCTGGCTCCCTCGTTATGAGCTATTTGGGGTTGCCTTCAGGTCTCCTTTGAGACTTTCTCTGTTTAAATTGTGTATTATTCAGCAGTTTGAACAGACATTCGCTGGTTGGCAAAGACTATTTGTCAAAGGGTAAATTGGTAACAGTAATTACAAGTGTCAATTTTAAACACATTTACCATACCAAGTTCATTTGCAAAGGATTCTAGAGGAATTTCTTATGGGGTGCATTTGATGTTCTGCGCTAAGTTTTCAGAGCATGTGTGATGTAGGATATGGGTGAATTGAGTATTTGGTTAATTTAGCGGAAGCGAAAACAATGGGAAAACAGAAAATAGAACAAAGGGGATAGGTCTGGAATCTCTCCAGGGGCACACCAAGGAGTCTCCAATCTCTGGAAAATAAACTTTTCTTTATATCTCCACAACTCAACCCCATAATGAATTACATAGACGGGGTATTTATAATAATCTAACCCTAGAGTGAAAAGGAAAATTAAACTTATTCTAGGAAAGATATCCTAATCCAAATAAAATAGGAAACTTAGAAATCCTACTGAAATCTGGAAAAACTAAAAATCCTAATGAAATCTGGAAAACTTAGAGAACCTAAGAACTAACAAATAAATTAGGAAACTAATTAATAATTTGCTCTTCCATCTCTTTTGTTTGTAAACCCTAATGGGTTTGACAAAGATGTCCTCATCAATGTGTCATTTAAGATTGTGGAAGGTATCAGCCGAGGCACTGGACTAAAAAAGGTTCCAAAAAACACTCAATTTTTCGTGATCTTTGCAGAAAAAATTATTTTTTTGACTCATTTTAATGATGTTGAGTTGCATGAGGTTATGCATTTCATGTCCTAAACATCTAAAGTCGATAAATAAATAAAATGAAAGGAGGGATGTAACGGTACACAGGTTCAATTGGAGAGGAGTGTTTGATGCCAAATCCTATTATATGGCATTGGTGGGAACCTTGGATCTGAACTGCAGCTTTTGGTTGTTTGGCAGCTTGGTGCACAAAGGCCCTGTGTGGTTTTCTTTGTTTTGGACCGCAGCTTTGGGGTGAATTCTAACCTTGGACAACTTAATGAAAAAGGAATAGTTTCGGTCAAACAGACTACTAATAGATGTGTCTTTTGGGGAGAAGAAAGTTCGATTTTGGAGATTAAAGATCTGTTTGTGAGGCTTCGTTCTCTTAGGTTACCAGCACTTCAGATTTGTTGTTTGATTACATAATTGAATTTATTTTAAGTTTACATTCATTGATTGTAAACTACTGGTATGCCTATGTTTTACCTGTAACAAATGCAAAACAATATACTTATCATTTGTAATTCAGTATGCCAGTTACATCTTTATAACATTCTTAGACTAGGGACAAAAATGAGAGTTCATAGTACCGTGAACACAGAGCTCCCCAAGAAGATCTGCAGCAGCTTGGACAGCTTTCTCCTCGTTCAGTGGGCGTATTGCAACATCAGTTGCATGACCATAAATCCGTCTTTGCACATTTGTTGTAAATCGATGATTTGCCTGATTCAATATCAAAATGGGAACAAAAATATATAATTATGTATAATATAAGTGCATATAACTAGAGAGAAATTATTATAAAAAAAAAAAAAAAAAAAAAAAAAAAAAAAAAACAAATCAAGAAAATCTGAACACTAGAGATAATCTTCTATACAAAAATTGGACATTTATCACTTTTATTTATTTTGTGGGTGATTATAGGTTGACCGGTGGGGTGGGAGCTAAACACAAACTGCATAACCTAAATGAAGAACATAAGAATCAAAGTATGACATGTATCCATCAAAAAGCAGACATTGGATAGGAAGGTGGATGAAACATGAACTAGCGGATAATAACATGAATCAATTAAAACATGAACACCACAGACATGTGGTAGACATGGTCCAAGAAAGTAGCAGCCAGAAACCATAAATTAAAAGCAACTGTGGACTTGTCATGGAAATAGAACTCAATGCAGAAAATAAACAATGATGGCAACTACTAAAATAATTTAAAGGGGAAACTATATGGAAGTGCAATTTCCCACTGGCAGTGAAAGAAAAAGTAGGAACTTCCACCAGCTATGGAAGAAAAAGCTCAAGAATATAATCAATATACATACAGATATTAGAAATGGCTACAGATTGCATGTGAGAAATTTAACAAGTATATGAACCAAATATGATCTTCTGACGATCTTCTGAAAAAGCAGCATCCATATTCCAAGGGTAACAACCATTTTCGAATGGGAATGGCATACTGCAGCATAATCATGACCATTTCTTTTACCCATACAGATCACAAATGACTTTATATACTTAAAAGTTTATCCATTAGTAATAGTAATCAAGAACTTATTGCAGCTTAATGTCATCTAAAATGCCCCACTCCCCATAATTTACTAGACATGCATAATTTATGCAAAATGTAATACTATGGCAAAGCTAGAACCAAGCAACGACACCCAAAACGCCAAAACAAAAACAAACAAAAAAATAATCAATTTTTAATATACAATTTGAAAATATCAAAGAACTCGCCTGAAAAGTGACCATGGAGATGGCACAAAATGAAAAATTCATGTTTACAGTCCCAAATGAGCACAAAAGATGAAAGGACCAACATCAAGCGAATACGAGAGAAAACAGGGAGAACCCACGCAGGAAAATCAGGTTTAAGGCAAACCCATATAATAAAATAGCTTAAAAACAAAGAGAATGAAAACAGAAAATGCTGGTAAAAGAGAAAAATAGAGAACCTGGGCAATGTTAACGATGAACTGCCTAAATCGCGGGTGCAAGCCAGCCTCTCGCTTGAGCCGATTAGCAATGGGTTTGGAGATGGTTTTGAGGGCAAGGGTTGCTAACTTCACCGCTGGAAGGACCATAACTCTCTGCCTATTTCTGTTTTGGAGTGGTGAATTTGTGCGCTTTGAAGGCTATGGGACTAAGAACTGAGACCAGAGCTTTTGAGTCATGGACTTGTACGGAATGATGGAATTCTAATTTGGAGAGAAAAAAGAAAAATGTCGACGCTGCTTCGTGGGTGACAATTCGTCAGTGGAGCATCGTCGCTGACGGCTGCGAAGATGCGTGCGAAAGAGTTTTGAGGGGTCAATTTGTAATTTTGACAAGGGTTGTGGTATTTCGGGCTAATCAGGGAAAGACACGATATACAAATACGAAATAGTACACTGCCGTTTTCCCCCGGTGAACTATTACCCGGTTGAGAATTGACTTCCAGATTATTTTAGGAAAATTCACTATTATACTCAATATAAGGGCCCAAATTATAAAAATACCCTATATGAAATGGATTTTAGAAACACACCTAAAGCTCATTTACAACATAACAAAGAGGCTTTTAACTTCTTATAAATTACAAAACTGCCATCAATTTCTTAAAACAAGCCCAACCCCAAAATCTCATAAAAATACCCAAAACACTCAATAGGGCATCAAAGTAATTTAATAATTAATATTAAATTCAATAAGGCCAATTGTCATTTTTTGGGTTTTTTTTTTGTTTGTTTATAGAAATTCAATGGTGTAGGGTTTATCTATAATATTAGTGCTAAGAATGAGTATATCACTAAATATCTCATTATTTTATCGAAAAATATAACATGAACTACATAATAGCAATCTACCCCTTACCGTCAAGTCATTCAAAGTTCAACCAAATTTCCGTCAATATTGAAGACAAATGCGTAATTTAAGGAAAATAAGAATTATACCCCATTAAATTACTACATAATAGTGTTGGTCCCTTTTTTCGACGCTCTTTCTCTTCTGGGTTGAGTTTCTCTAGAGAGTGGAAAGGCTGTCAAGTAAACACCAATGCTCCGATTGGATTTCTGGCTTGCGAGAGGATTCTTTCAACTTTTGGACAAAATTGAAAGTTGGTTCAGGTTGACAAGAACGGGCAAGCTCGGGCTGGGCCCTGATAACTTGCTTCTCTTGAGCTGATCGCAGATTGTGCAGGCGCACTATTGGGTATGAGACTAGCCCAATAGACTTGGCAAATGTGATGTAGGGTGTCTATTTGGTGGATTCGCGCTTGTTCTGGACTTCCGATCAAGCCATTGTGCTCCAAGGTGGGTACTGGCTTGGCTGAGTTCTTTTCTATGCCTCAATCAAGAGGACTTCAATATTCTTTCACTCATGTGTTGCTAGTTTAATAGATACGAACATTACCTAATCAAACAAGAAGGAAGCTAATGTTGTGGTTAATGCTCCCTCGTTTGGGTTAAAAAACCTAGCTTGGGCCTAAGATGACCCTAGACCAGATCAAGATTGAACCAATTTGGGCCCAACAATGTAGCTCATGGCCCGACATGCCCTTACTTTCGGACTAATAAAGTCCTATTTAGGCCTAAACCCTTATCTTGGGTCCGAATAATGATAAGCTTAAATATGCAAAGGCGGGAAAATAAATTAATCTACAAGAGTATATAAAGCAACTAAATGACAGATATTTAAGAGGTAGCTAGAGTAAATTTTAGAAAGTAAAGAGGTTTCATATGTCGGAGATCCCTCTATCAAAATGAAAGCCAAAGATTTCTCCATTTAGCTACTTTTAAATACAAATTACAATATAGAAGAAGCTAGAGATTTCTCTATCCAGTTTAAACAAAAGATATGTTTATAGAATTCAAACAGATTGTTTTAACAAGAATATACCATAAAAATGGCAAAGCAACAAAAGATAAACGCAGGAGTGGTCAACTAGTTATCTGAACAGTAAGTAGGCTATTTGAAAAGATCTTGAAGTTCTTTCAAGTGTTTTGAAGACGTTGCGTTTGGTTTTGGGAGAGAGAGAGAGAGAGAGAGAGAGAGAGAGAGAGAGAGAGTCCTCTTGTGCTGCTGTAGAGCCTCTATATTTATAGGCAAGAATTCCTAATGATGAAGGCTGGAAGAGGATATTTAGCTACTATCCAAAGTCAGTTGTTGATTTGTCCTTGTGAGCTGGTCCATAGGTGAGAGGATAGAATATCTTGAACAAAACTACTGGTCTCAAGGGATGCCTCTCTGACCTATGTCCTTTCATAGCTGGAAATCTATTTGGTAATCGGCTCATTCCGGCTATGGCATCTATTATCCAGCTTGCTTTTCTTGTTGGGAGAGACGGCGGTCAAGTCGTCATTAATGGTGAAAATCCCTCTTCATACCCTCATGTGGGTCGATATGCAATGGCTACCCATTTTCTTAACTTTAGTGTGGACCAAACTTGGGGTCCTTTCATACTTTTGGGATTTTGAGAGGCTTTCACCCACTGCTAGCCCAAATCCGAAAAAAGCTCTTTTCATCGTTCCTATAAGAAAAAGGTTGGGCTTCAGTTTAATAAATCTTTTTTTAGAATAAAACCATTTTTGGCCCATTTTCCAAATATGGTACAAACATTGCCCCCTAATTTCAATGTGCTAGAGTAAAGTTTATTGAAACTTAACCCTTCATATCCTTTGCAATGTCAACTCATACACAAAAAGAATATTTTCGAAAGTAACGCACCAAACTGACGAAAGCAACTGTCACATCCACGTCTGGCATTAATTTCGGTCTGCTGAGCAAAAACCTCCCAACTTCTCCCTTCTCGAACTTCTTCTCTTTCTTTTTCTGAGAAAAATGATGCGAAAGTCTCTCCTGAAGTTAATCTTGCCGTAATTTCTGAATTTTCTCAAGGTTTTTTCTGACGTTTTTTGCAAAATGGCACCGAAGAAATCGAAAGCTCCCAAGGTCTCTGCTGACGCTCCCGATTGGATTTTTGGGAGAGGCGTTGCAGAATACGTTAAGGAATTCCAGGTGGCTTTGGCACAAGAACAAACAGGGAGCTTGGTAAAACTTTATTCTCCCTTTCCCTTAAGTCTGAGATATCCTCTTAAGACTCCTTTTTTGGGTCCTCATTATCATCAAACCAAGCCAGAGAGTTTACAGGCCTTGGATACACAGTTGGTCCGAGCCCCATTTCCTTAAGGTCTGGAAGACATAGACAGGGGGTCTTGGGAAACAAATTTGGAGAGGCTGGTTTTGAACCCTGAAGTGCCCCTTACTGAAGATTATCTCTCTTGGGCTGGTTAGGTGGACGAGATGATGCCCAAGTACAAGGATAAATGGATGCAGAATGGGGTATTCTATGCCATTATGTTGTCAAAGCATCAAATCGACTTGAATGCACGTTTGCTGGGTATTGCTTTGTGCTATTGGGATAGCACTTCTAATACTTTTGCATTCGGCCCTGGTCCTATGACCTCTACCCCTCTTAGATATGGCTGCCCTATTTGGATTTAAGCCTTGTGGTATGAGCATAGATGTTCTGGGGGACTATGAATTGAAGAATTGTAGAATCGAGACTTTAATGAAGGCTATCAGAATAGAGATTGTCCTACTACAAATCTATTCTAGGTTCGTGATGACTTACCAAGGGATGGTTGATCGCAACCAGTAACATATGATGTTCTTGCTCTTCTAGCTAAACAAGTTCATTTTTCCCAACGCTGACGAAGGAGTGACACTAGAGTACATGCATCTGGCGGAAGCTCTTCACAATGAAATGGGTGTGGCCACATGCCCTTTTATATTAGCCTCTCTCTATCATTGCCTTCATCAAATCACTATCAATCCGCTAAACCTCAACGTTTGTGGTCCAATATGGATGTCTCAGATGTGGTTGGAATGGTACTTCCTTGAGCTTGGGAATGATGCGCTAGAATTTCTTGAGGATGACGTCCCAGCTATTGCTCTGGCTATTAACCCTTTGTCATCACTAAAGAGTGTGTCATCTTTTTCAGAGAGTGTAGGCAGAGAGAGAAAGAAACTTAGCTTCGTTCACTATCCTCTGACCATTCTTGGTTTGCAGAGAGAGGTCTCCATCAAGCTCCTAGACATTGGAAGGATATGTCCAACTCTAGGGCTATTATTCATGCTAATATGAGAGTGTCTTGCCTATCCAGCAAAGATCTGTTCTTTGGTAAGGTTCATATTAACAAGAAGTTTCAGTATACAGTGGAGGCATATAATCCCCAATTTGGCAGTAGGCAATTTCGATTGGTCCAAGCAATTCCAGAACTGAGCAATAGTTCTGTGAACAAAGGGAGCTCTTGGAGGGACATGAGCATGACTCCCTCGGAGGTTAAAGCTGTAAGAACAGCCTAGAGGACCAGAAGCAAGAGTGTGAGGGTGCCTCCTTACAATCCAACTCCGCTATGTACTCCAGCCTTCCATGATTTTTTGGGAGAATAGGTTGTTCTCTTGGCTCCTAGAATTTGCCAGACTCCTTTATACCTCAGCCTTCAAAGATTGCCCTTTTGCTCGGTTGATGACAAAATAGGAAGAAGCGTCTATGATGAAGAGGTTAAAGCGTCTTTAGAAGATGGAGGTGATAGGTAAATTTCTATTTTTCAACAACAGTCAATTGATCTAATCTTGATGCACAAGATTCTAACAATTTGGATTGTTTTTGGTGGTTAACAGAAACCGTCCTGGGTGAACCAAGTGGCCCTGAAGAAACTGGTAAGGCTCCTACCAAAGCTTCGATTTCTTTTTGCTGAATGATGCTAATTCTGTATTCCCTTGTCAGCAGATTGAAGAGTTTCTGTTAGTATGAAATTGTGTTGGCATTTCCTAGAACTTAATATAGGTTTGGAAGTGTCATTTAGCTAGAGGGTTGAAGTAAAATTTGACAGGACCCAACCCCAATTCCACTTTGGAATCTGCGTCGAACCCTGTGCGCATCCGACACCTGGCAGGTGCCGGGCACACTTGACCAAATTGCCCTTCTAACTAAGACTCAACAATTCTTTTTAAGGTTTGACTTCTGCCAAAAACTTTCCACCTGTAAAAATACAATTAATATTGAAAACCGTATCCCAATCGTTTAGCAAGCATAAGACAAATAACTTTGAAAGGCCTCAGGCCTCTTTATACCAAATAAAACATTCTACCATCGGAAACTGGTCTCAACTCTTAGAGCAACAAGAATATGTTATCAAGTTCTAACATAACTTAACTGAACAAATTTTCAGCACTTGATCTTGTGGCTGCACCTAGTAACTCTAGATTGCTTACGTATCCTTACGAAGGGATCAAGCCATACGTACTTCTTTCTACATAAATTGTAAGTAAACATAGGTTACTTAATCAAATAAAAGCGAGAAACCTTCATAAATAATTCAGATCAATCTACTAAGACTTAATCAAGGGCTATTGAGGTTAGAACAATCTGCTACTCATCCCACACGTGCATAAATAAATAAATATATATCTACTTAACTTATTACTTATAAGTAGAAAAATAAGAAAATTATTAAAATAGCACTGACCTCGTAAAACCTTAATGTCAATATCAATAATTTAAATAAAATATGTTTTCCTCTTTCATATGTAAAATCAAATTCCTCACTTAAGAAAATAATTGTAAATTATATAAAATCCTTAAAACATAGAAAACTCTCAATCCTTATCTCATTAGTTGGAAACATATATTAAAACCTTCACTAGTAAGTACCAAAATAAAATCATTAATTTTAGTTTAAAACATCTCAAAACTCAAATACTCTCCACCTAGGTGTACCCCTATTCATGATCCGTCAATTCCACTAATATTTCGTCAATTCCAAATGTCACATAAGCGACACATCCTCGCAGGCCTCGAAAACATAGAGTCAACCCAAGCCGCATTCCTCGCAAGACTCAGGAGACACTTAGTCAACCTGAGCCACATTCCTCACAAGACTCAGGGGACACTTAGTCAACCTAAGTTGCATTCCTTGCATAACTCGGGAGACACGTAGTCAGCCCGAGAACGCACATCCTCACAGAACTCGAGGGACATGTAATCAGCCCGAGAACGCATATCCTCGTACCACATGATTCAGGCATCCCCGAAACTCGTGGGGCATTGTCATAATTGACAAAACTGTTTCAAAGGCAAATGGGGGCATTCCTGTGGTGGGTTTGAAAACCATATTCTGAAACTTATCACAAACTTTCCCTTACTCTACAAATCCATTTTTCAAATCTTTTATCAACTTTCCAAAAATCAGTTCTCAACTACATTTAAATAATCCAATATCACTCAATCATATACTTTAATAATAATCATAATAATAATAATAAATAATATAAAATATTAACCCTTAGTGATCCCATATCCTTATCAACCCAATTTAAATCAAGTTTTAATCAAAACTCACTTATGCAAGAAATTCCATAATAAAAGAGCGAAGTACACTTAAAAACAAACGTCCACTCATTCCCTAATAAATATAGCCAAAACCCACGGCTGACCTTCACAACCCACCAATCAAGTATTCCATGCTCATCTATTCAATAACTTCAATTATCAAAGTAGTATCCAAGAATTTCATAAGATACTATAAAACAATCTCATAATTCCAACATAAACAAAATAACTGAAAAACCAGTCAAGTCTTGTTTAAGAGGTTGTTCTAGTACTTCCCGAAGGGTGGAACTACCTCGGAAGACTCACAGTCAATCAAGGGGGCAAACTGCCCAAACTTGGTTAACCGGGCCCGCGTGGCCCACAACCTCCGATTTCTGATATGAGAGTTCCTACAGGTTTAACAAGGTTTATTGTACATTCCTTCAAGTTTGGTCTGAAATGAACGGTCGGATCACTCGCGATCGCAGAATCGGACGATTATTGTTTAATGCCACTTTACGTCATTAAATCAGAGCATCTGGGACTCCGATTCACAATCTACGAATTCCTACACGCTCCTAGAGATGCCTAGATCAACATATTTGAAAATGATGTTGGTCCAACGGTCTGAGCATATCACCGGATAACGCCTACTATGAGATATTCGATCGACAGTCAAACGATAACCAAAATCAAGTTCGAGCATACCGTCGTAGTCAGGACAACATAAGGATCATTTTAGGACCAAGAGGAACACCCAAACAGTGCCCACGCGTTGGCAGTGCATGGATCTCTTGAGAAATTCTGGTGATTGGAAAATCTCCAAACCTTTGGTCAAGACCTATACCTACATGATAAGGACAATGAGTGAAGCAACTTTTGTTCTGAGACCATGACTAAAAAGTGGCAGGAACTTGCCCGAAACCCAAGCCAAAAACCAGCTGAAACTTGAAGAGATCAAACGAGTTCCAAAATGCAAAAATCAAACCTAACCAACCCAACCATCATCTAAGTCATGTTGAAAGGATGAGAAAGCATACATGGATCGACAAATTTGGTGGCCAGAATCGTCGGAAACGACGACCAAAAGTTTGGGTCAAAACTGGCCGGATTTTCATTTTTTTCTGGTGACCGCAGGCGGCGGTTCCATCGGAGGTGGGGTGGGGTTGGAAGAGGAAGTTGAGGTGGTCGTTTTGACACCGGTCTCGTGAAGTTTGGTGGCATGAGGTGGCTGCAGCGAGGCAAAAATTGCCACTGGAAAAAAAAAACTTGGGGGGTGGGGCTGTTTCGCACCGCGGAAAGGGAGAGAGAGAGAGAGAGAGAGAGAGAGAGAGAGAGAGAGAGAGAGAAGATTCTGACTATTAAAAACTGAACTTTGAAATATTTACGATTATGCCACTGGGGTTCCGTAGATCGTAACTTCTTTGTTAAAACTTTTATTTGAGCCCACTACGTGTCTACGGACTCATCTCGATGTGCTCTACGCAACAGTACTACTAAAATCCTCAAATTATTTTCTAAACAAAAAGTCAAATTTTAAACCCATTAAAATATTCTCAGGGTAAAATTGTCTTTTATTTGAATATTTGAATAATTAACTATTAATTTAGGATTGGTTTATTACAAAATTGTTGTCTCGGTTTTCTAAGAACTGTAGGATTGAAACAGCTCAGCAATCTCTGAATTCCAGAATTGTGAGTCCAACCCGTATGAGACATTTGATCTGAAGGGTAAGACATGTCATTTTTCATGCACTGATATTAGGAATGTTTTTTTGGAATCTAATATGATTTTATTTCCTTGATCTTCCTTAATTTTAATCAATTAGAATCCCTTTTAGGAGTGCATCTCATTTAGGCACATTTTTCAATATCTTTTGTTTATTCCTTCTTTCCTTTTATTATTAAATTCTAATTGTCTCTCAAGTATCTTTGATTTTCTATCACGTTTTGGTTGCTTGGAAATCATGTTTCAATCTTATCACAATATCAAGGAGTCAAGATACCCTTAATAGTTGACTAGGCATACAAGGATTCATTTGATATTTTGATTGATTAAAAATCTTCTTTTCTTAAATATCTCATTTCCTATTGGTTGAACTACATGTGACCAATCTTTAGAATAGGAAAGATACTTTTGTGATTTTCTACCAAGCCTTAAAGAGTGGAGATTTGGTTTTAAAACAAAAGTTCCTTCCTGTGAAGAAAACTTCTATAAAAACAAGGTTTTGGGTTTTCTTTTAGATGGCTTTTGAACAATAATTTTGTGTGCTAAAAAGTTTAAGAAAGCTGCGTTTTTATTTGAGATAAATCATCAGGTGTTCCATGTTTACTTGGTGATTTATCAAACACTTTTATCATTCATATTGCATTCATTTGCATGTTCGGTGACTCATACGGTTGAGGGCACCAAGACCGTTGTGATGGTTTTTCTCCGGTGAGCTTGAATCAATCGTGACTAGTATCGGATTCAACATAAGGAGAGTTGGAAGAACTCCGGCGAGCTTGAGGTAATCGTGACCAGTATTGTGCTCAACATAAGGAGTGTCGAAAGATCATCCCGTGACAGAAGTTGAGTTACAAAGAAGTCGGTAAACATTATCTAGAATGTGTCTAGGATAAGTGTGTGAGTACTTCTTGTAATCCTCGTTCTATAGTGGATTTGTTTTGGACTGAGCAGTCCTGTGGATTTTCCCTAGAGGTGGGGTTTTACCACGTTAAATAATTCTCTACGTGTTCCTTTATTTTATGCTCTGCACGTTTCCAAGATTGATAAGCCATATCAATCCTGCTAACAAAGTTTATTTTTATTTATTGATTATAATTTTAAATTGACCTATTCACCCCCCCCCCTCCCCTCTCTAAGCATTCTTAGTCATCCTACAGGTAATTTCAGTTTCTTCAGCTTTTGGTGGGGATTCATTTGGAAGATTAGAAAATTGAAGAACATCAGTTCTGCCACCTTCTTCTCAGCCTTCTGGTTCAAACTTAGTTCCTAGACATAAGGGAAAAGCTCCTCTTGTTGAGGATGAAGATGAGGAGAAAGATGAGGCTCCTCTCCAAAGAAAGCGCAGGGCCCTACTCCCCTTGCTCCAATGGTTGAGCCCAATTCAGCCCCAATAGGAGGTAAGACTCTATTTTTGGGCCTATATTTAAAACTTTATGGGTGGCTTCTTGCGAATTAACACATATATTTTCGTTGTGGTCCCAGAAAATCGTGAGAAGAGGCCAAGGGTGGGTTCACCCCTTGGAGAGGAGAGGGCTCTTGAAATGCCTGCTACACTAGCAACTTATGTATCTCTCAAATCTTAACTCAGATATTTCACAATTTTCCTTTTCTTCTGCCCTTTAGTCAGAACTAACATCGAACGTCCATCTTCTGCAGAGGCCAGGGAAAGAGGCGGTTTCTGGACCTTTCATTATTGATAGAAGCTTGGAATTTGTGGTTTTGAAGGTGAAAATAGTGAAGGTGGAGGATGGGGAGGCTTTCCCACCACTGGAATAGCAATCAAACCCGAACATAGAGATGATGGGGGGTGTTGTTGGGAGGAGTGTTCCTGAAACTCCAGGCCTGAGTGGCCTTGGTACCTCAACAAATCCTCGCATTTTGTTAATCTTACCAGTGCATGAGGAAATAAAATTCTTAAAGACTTGAAGAAGCTTGATGAAGTGCTTGGTGCTATGGTGGACAAACTAAGGGCTGTGTGGACTTTGTTCAGAGCTCCAGATTTTGACCAGTTCAGAATCCTGATGCCTTCTTCAAAATGCAACCTTTGCTTACCCAAGTCGCATGAGTCAAACCCCACTTGGCCCCAACATGATAATCTCTGGAACAATGGTTGAGCAAGACACTGAAACATATTAGCATGATCAAGGAGATTCATTCCCCATTGGTGGATCCTGAAGAGGTCCCTGAAGACCATTATGACAGCAAAACTGGATATTTGGAGCTTACTGAGGCAACGGTCTTCAAAAGTTCACATACAGCGCTGAAGCGTCTATTGCGTGTGCCTTCTCCATAAAGCTCTTGGAGATGGGATATCATGTCAGCAGCATGCATCATATGCTCATGTTGATTTTGGAGCTCCTCATTCATGGAAGCCAGAATGTAGCACTTGGCCTGACAGTCATCATCCACGTGCTTGCCATACTTAGCATGTACTTCCTGAGAAGCATCTTCAGCAAGGGGCTCTATTAGGAGTTTGCTCTAGTACGTACACAATCTTCTCAATAGTCATGAATATCTTGAGATTACGGTACCATTTTGGAAAGTTATGGCCCACTAGACAATGTTTGTCCAGGAGTTTGGCGAATGCGGTTCCAGACATATCTACAAATACATATAACTAAGTGTTAGATTGATTTTAGATTTACCATTGACTCGGGTCTTTAAGTCAAAAGGTAACCCCCCAATAGTTTTGGCAAATTCTCATATCCCTCAAGATGGAATCTGAGAGTTTTGGTTAAAACTCTTAGTCGGATGAGAGGCTCCCTATTATCCGCACTACTACGTTTCACCATTCGCGCGACAAAAGATTGCGCAACGAAGAATAAGTCGTCGCGCAAAACATATCGTCGCGCAATCCACTGAAAATTTGCACGACCAAATTTTTCGTCGCACGAAATGTCTTTGCGCGACCAAAAAAATCGTCGTCGCGCAAACAGAGTTAAAAAAAGCGGGGGGAATTTTTTGGTGCGAAACATTTGCGCGACGAGAAATATCGTCGCTTAAGACAACCTTGCGCGACGGTACATTGATTCGTCGCGCAAAAACGGACAGAACCCAGTATGTCCCCTTATTTGGCGGTAAAAACAGCTTAGCGCGACGGGAAGATTTTTCGTCGCGTAAGAGAACGAGGGATATTTTATTTTTGGCGCCAAAATTACCTGATTGAGATTTTTTTTTGCGCTACGTACGTACTGTTCGTCGCGTAAAGTTCCAAGTTTGCGCGACGGAATTTTGTTTTTGCGCGACAATATTGCGTGACGAAAGGTTGCGCGACGGAAAATACCAGCGTCGCGCAAAAGTTAGATGTCGGCAGGTGATTGGGCGACGAAAAAAAGGGTTTGCGCGACGGGCGATTTGGTTTTTTGCGACGGAAGTTTGCGCGATGAACTTATATATTCGTCGCGCAAAGTCCTTCTTCTTCATATTAGAATTCTGCCATTGCAGAGGCAGAATGCAAAAACAAAGCATTCTGCCTCTGCCTCTCTCTCAACCTCTCTGCCGCTGCTGGGACTTCAATAAATTGATTGGGTAAATATTTTTCATCATTAGTTTAAAAGTATTAATTTAAGTTCGTACTAAGGTTTTTTATTTTGTTTTTGTTAGGGATATTTGTAATTAGCGATTGGTGGAGAACGATTGAGAAGGTATTTTATTCGTTTTATATATTAATAATGTTAATTTGTTATGTTTAAAATTTTCTTGGGAAGTTATATTTATATTATGTTGTTAAATTGTGTGTAACGTACCACAATCTGTTGTGATGTACGAAGTTAATTGAAATTAACTTCGTGCTTTTATTTTTATGTTTAGTAACACTTAATTTCCCGTTCGAGATTAGTTGGATTTCGTGCATGGATGCGTAATGCATGACTGCGGTCCAATTAATTCTTGAATTGTCCCATTATTTGGACAGTTTGGTAATGCATATTGTTGTCACGTAATCTATGGCTACAGGATTAGGTTTCGATTGTGGATATTTCGATGTCATCTCGGTACGTTCTTCGGGTGGTACGTAGGTATTTATACCTATGGCCACCTCAAGAACTGTAGCGAGATGCTGGCGAAATTCATCCACGTCGAAATCTAATCTCTTGTAGTCGTAGGTTACGTGGCAGGAGTATGCATTCCCGAATGGGATAGGACCCTTACCGGAGGCATAAGGTGACATTATAACTTCGTATGAAGTTGTTGTGATTGTTGTGTTGTGATTCTGGTTTCAGGAATTATGGACAGAAGGTGGATACAGAACCCGAACAGATGCGCAGACGAATACTTGGATGGAATCGAGGATTTTATTGAGTTTGCACGTAGACACAACCCGGGTGCAACTAGAATCCGTTGTCCTTGTAGGAGGTGCAACAACACGTTATGGGAGACAATTGAAAATGTTGGATTTCATTTAGTAAGGAATGGAATGATTGAGACATATAGCATTTGGAACCTTCACGGGGAACAATTAGAGCATGCTTCGTCTTCAAATGCCACAAGAGTGGACAATGTTCAACCTATTGTGGATGCTAATGATCAAGTCATGGATATTATACAGGATGTTTTTTCCATTTGCATCGACCAACATGAATCAAGAAGAGCAAGATGATGTGCCTACACCAATAGACAGTGCGGAGTTTGAACAATATGAAAAATTGTTAAAAAATGCCAACCAAGAGTTATACCCGGGGTGCGAGAGCTTTTCCGTTCTCACGGCCATTGTGGAGCTAATGCACGGAAAAATAAAGTATCGTATGTCGAACTTGTGTTTCGATTACTTTTTGGGGGTTTTCAAGAGAATGCTTCCGACGGACAATTGTTTGCCGAAAGACCATAAACAGGCGCAGAAGGTGTTGAATGGTCTTGGATTGGGTTATGAAAAAATCCATGCTTGCAAAAACAATTGCATGTTATTCTACAAAGAGCATGAATCGTTGGATACATGTCCTATATGCAATGAGTCGAGGTTCAAGATGACATCTCAGAATAGGACGACTAAGATCCCACAAAAAGTCATGCGTTATTTGCCCCTAAAACCTAGGTTGCAGAGATTGTATATGTCGACGCATACTGCCACAGACATGAGATGGCATAAGGAAAAACAGGTAGACGATGATGTGATGCGGCATCCTGCAGATGGGGAGGCATGGAAAGAGTTCGATCGAACGTTCCCCGAGTTTGCTGCTGATCCCCGAAATGTTAGATTGGGACTTGCCACTGACGGATTCAATCCGTATGGGGTTCTAAACCAACAACACAGCACTTGGCCGATTTTCGTATTCCCATATAATTTGCCGCCTTGGAAATGCATGAAAAAAGAATACATGATGATGACTGTTTTGATAATTGAGGATCCTGGGAGGTCAATCGATGTTTACTTAAGGCCGTTGGTTGATGAGCTAAAGGATTTATGGACAAACGGTGTTCGCACGTATGATAAATCAACTGGGAAGATGTTCACTTTGCGGGCAGCAGTTATGTGGACTGTGAATGATTTCCCAGCATATGCAATGGTTTCTGGGTGGAGCACAAAAGGTTATATGGCATGTCCTGTATGCAAGGAAGATGTAACTTCTGGTTGGCACGCTGGAAAAGTTTGTTACCTTGGTCATCGGAGATGGTTGCCATGGGACCATGAGTGGAGGGAAAAAGATAAAGAGTTCGACGGGAACACAGAGCGTCGCCTTATACCCAGAGAATGGTCCGGTGATGAGATATTGGACCAGCTTAACCGGTTGGATTTTGCTCCCTTCGGGAAAACAGTTAGTCGTGTCAGACCTTCCACACATATGAACTGGACGCACAAGCCTATGTTTTTTGAGCTTCCATTTTGGTCGAAACTAAAATTGAGGCACAATCTAGATGTGATGCATGTTGAGAAAAATGTATTCGACACATTGGTGGGCACGATTCTAGATATCGAGGGGAAGACAAAGGACACGATCAAAGCTCGTCTTGATTTGGAAAGAATGGGCATACGAAGGGGTTTATGGATGAATAGGGACAATGATAAAGCTAGAAGGGATCTTGCATTCTTTTCTATGAAACCGAATGACAAGAAAGAGTTTCTAAAGTTTGTATCGTCAGTAAAGTTTCCCGATGGGTATGCTTCTAATATCGCACGTTGTGTGTTTATGCAACGCCTACTTGCTGTTGGTATTCGACACCTATTGCCGGAAGATGTAGTGAAGCCAATCATTTTGTTGTCCAGATTTTTTTCCCAACTGACGGCAAAAACTTTGCGAAAAACGGACATGTTTCAGTTGCGCCATGACATTGTCCAAGTCCTATGCATGTTTGAGATGATATTTCCTCCAGCTTTCTTCACAAGTATGATGCACGTGATGGTTCACTTGCCAGAAGAGGCATTGCTTGCTGGTCTTGTCAACTATCGCTGGATGTGTCCAATAGAAAGGTATATAATCCTTATCGTTTGTGTATGCATCATTATCACATGCTTGCTAATTTGTATAATATCGTTTTATTTTGGCAGGCTTCTCGGAGAGCTGAAAAAAAGTGTACGCAACAGGGCGAAGCCCGAAGGATCAATCGTAGAGGCTTGGGTTCAATATGAGTCGCTTACTTTCTGCGGAATGTATTTAAAAGATGTGGAGACGGTTTTCAATCGTCCTCAGCGCAATCATGACGGAGGTATGAGAAATGAAAAACTTTCTGTTTTTGCCCAAAGCGCACGACCCTTTGGAGATCCTGGACGCGGAGAGTCGTTTTCTAGAAATGACATGGAGGTAGCGCATTGGTTCGTACTGAACAATTGTGATGAGATCATGGGATACTTATATGAGCATGAAGAGATGATGAAGCGAGAACATCCATCACATTTGGTTGCCCAGAAACACCGTGAATTGTTTCCACAATGGTTTTTGGATTCTGTAAGTTATCAGTGTTTGTTATTTGAGAAATATAAATTGTAGTTTTTAATTTTGTCAGACTAACATATGAATGGTTTTGTATAATATTAGGTGAATAAGTTGAAATCATCGAATTCCCCAACTTACAGTGATGAGTTATATAACTTGGCGTTCGGCCCGATTCGCGCTGAATTGTTCTCGGGTTGTAATGTCAACGGCGTCAAATTTTTGGGCGAAGCACGAGATGACAAGTTGTGTACGCAAAACAGCGGTGTCCATGTCCCAGGTGGAGGCGAAAGTACAGACATTGATTTCTATGGCAAACTCACAACTGTCGTGCAATTGCTTTACAAAGATCAATACCAAGTGATCATGTTTAAGTGTCGATGGTTTGACACCAACCCAAATAGGCCGGGAAGTGTTAAAATCGATCATGGCTTATTATCTGTGAACATGAACAGAACTTGGTATGATGACGACCCTTATATTTTGGCAAACATGGCAACACAAATTGTGTATCTAGATGACCCTAAAGCCGGAAGCGGTTGGAACGTTGTTCAAAAGATGGATCATAGGAACGTGTATGCTATACCAGAACTAGACCCAACTGACAACGACGTCGACAATGTGGCTGACCAACGTTTAGAATCTTCAATGGAAAATGATGCGGAAACACTTCGAGATACTAATGTTATACAAGAGCCATTTCAAATACAAGGAGTGTCTTCAATCGAAATACCGATTCAGTCAATTACAATTGACCTCGGTGATCTTCCGCGATACGATGTTGCAGTTGGCCCGAGCAACGACGATGATGTAGTTATAGAGGAGGCGGAGGAGGAGGAGGAGGAAGAGAATTGGGAGACCGAAAGTGATGATAGCGACGATAACGAAAGTTATTATAGTTCAGATGATGAATGATGAATTTTTTTTGTAATTTTATTATGTTAGTGGACATATTTTGTGTAATGCAAATGTTTTCATATATGTACTTGTTATATCCAAACATTATATATGTGCAGAAATGAAACATTATTAAAATAAATGTAGTTATAAACCATTGGTAAATAAATATATCCAAGTAATTTTAATAATAAAGTTTAAATTTATTTTGACAAAAAACTTTTAAAAAATGAAAACCATATAACCGAAAAAATGAATACAAAGAAAATAAGATTATCAACAATCCTTCAATTCTCAAATCAAAAGAAAATAGAATAAATCATACTTTCATACAATTAATTATATGTAATGATAAATAATTCAGCTTAATAATATGTGAATGAAAATAACCTTGCGCGACGAAGGCATAATTGTCGCGCACATTTTGCGCGACGGAAAACGTACACGTCGCGCATACTCTATTATTTGCGCGACAAATAATTCCGTCGCGCAAGTAACTTTTGCGCGACGGAAAATGTACACGTCGCGCATATTCTATTATTTGCGCGACAAATAATTCCGTCGCGCAAGTAACTTTTGCGCGACGAAAAAAAGACCTCGTCGCGCAAACATATACATATATATATTTCTGATATATACACACGTATATATTTGAAATTGACGATCGAAGTAGTTCACTGTATTCACATAGGGTTAAACAGTGTAGCTGTAAAAAATCATCAAAATCAGAGTCAAAATAACCGTTAAATCATGACTTTTCGTTTATAACCGTCGAAACGTTTTGTCCCGTTACTTGATCTCTGAATGTTTTTTTTTCTCATTTTCGACGTATACGATCTCGAAGTATAAACAAACATATTTGACGGCTGGATTACTGAAACTAGTTTCCTAGAATGCGTATTCCATCAAAACACAATATTCATAAAAAATGAAGAATTTCTTTATACATTCATTCAGTATAACATAAGATTATGTGATGTCCTGTACTGTAAATATCTGAAATTGAAGATCGAATTACATCTCTGTATTCATATAGGGTCAAGAACCGCAGCAAAAAAAAATTTTCAAGATCGGAGTTAAAATCACCGTTGAATCGGGACAATTTGTTTAGAACCGTCGAAAAGTTTTGTCCCGTTACTCAATCTCTGAATGTTCATTCATTATGATTTTTGACGTATACGATCTTGAACTATAAAAAAAGAAGATTGCCGGTTGGATCATTGAAACTAGTTCAGGAGTTCGGGTTTAGGGCTTAGGGTATAGGTTTTAGGGTTTAGGGTACAAGGGTATGGGTTTGCGCAACGAAATCACCTTGAATTCGTCGCGCAAAAGATTAGCGACGAATGGACATTGAATTCGTCGCGCAAAACGATTAAAAAAAATTGCAGCCCTTCTCCGCTCCAACACTTAGCGAATTTTTTTTTGGCAAAAGCTAGATTGTGCGACGAAAGAAAGTGCCTTCGTCGGGCAAAATGATGAAAAAAAATTGCAGCCCTTCTCCGCTCCAACACTTGGCGAAATTTTTTTTGGCAAAAGCTAGATTGTGCGACGAAAGCAAGTGCCTTCGTCGCGCAAAATGATGAAAAAAAATTGCGGCCCTTCTCCGCTCCAACACTTGGCGAAATTTTTTTTGGCAAAAGCTAGATTGCGCGACGAACGCAAGTGCCTTCGTCGCGCAAAATGATGAAAAAAATTGCAGCCCTTCTCCGCTCCAACACTTAGCGAAATTTTTTTGGCAAAAGCTAGATTGCGCGACGAAAGCAAGTGCCTTCGTCGCGCAAAATGATGAAAAAAAATTGCAGCCCTTCTCTCCAACACTTGGCGAAATTTTTTTTGGCAAAAGCTAGATTGCGCGACGAACTTAGGTCTCTTCGTCGCGCAATATCATTTCATTTATCTTCCCCGCGCAAAATCAAATCCCAAAATTTGGGCGGCTGGACAAACTTGCGCGACGACACTAGTTTTTTCGTCGCGCAAAGGTGATATTTTCACAACTTTGCGCGACGAAAGTATGTTTTTAGGTCGCGCAAAGGTCATATTTTCAAAACCTTGCGCGACAGAAAGTCAGTTTTGCGTCGCGCAAAAGTTATTTTAATGAATTTTGCGCGACGGATTTGGTTATTCGTCGCGCAAAATCGAATAAGTTTTCTGAAAATCGCGATCTTCTCCTTCTTCCCCAGTTTCTCAAACGGAACCCTAAAACCTCCCTCTCTCTCCGCCGTGACCTCAGCCCCTACTTCGCCCCAATTCAAACCCTGCCGCCACAACCGTCGAACCCTGGAGCTTCTCCGCCGTCGCCGTCCATCCTGCCGCCGTGATTTCCTCCGTTTAGGCCGAATCTTCGCCGCCGTTGTTCTCTCTCCTCCGGGCACCAAATCCGGCAATTGAGGTATGCTTTCTGGACTATTTTTGATGCTTTAGCTGATGGTTGGGTAGGATTTGATTGATTGTGTGCATAGGGTAGTGAATTTGAAACCCTAGGTTTCGGCCGGTTTTGAAATTGAAATTCCGGCCACTTCCGGCCGTTTTTCGGGGTAGGTCCGAGAACAAAAGTGCCTCCAATTGATGTTTTGAACCTAGGGTAGGAACCTTGGCCCTTAATTTTTAGGATTTCCCGGTGATTGTTATCGCTTTGGGCACCCACGCGCTGCCGGCGCGTGTGGTGGCGCGTGGGGTACTGTGGCATAGGGCATTGGGTCCCAGTGCAAACATTTCGTTGTCACGAGCGCTTAGGTGTGCTCGGATTTGAATTTGGTTATCGTTTGAGTCTCGAACGGTTCGAACCTATTGTGCGATTTTCGGGTTTGATATGTTCGGACCGTTGGATCGAGCTGAAACTCACGTATGTGGTACCATGTATTTATAGGATCGTTTAGGATTCGACGGATCGTGGATCGGAGTCCCGGATACTCCGAAATCGCAAACCCTAGGTCAAACTATGATTTTAATTAGTTAGTTCAATTTTTTAATGACATTGTATGTGCTACATTTGATTAATGAAATTGTGCAGATGTCAGACTTGATTAGACGTCGTAGGGCGGTGACGACTACACCGAGTTTGGAGCCCCCGGCTCAGCCGGTATCAGCTGCCACTGCTCCAGCACTGATGGAGCAGGACCACGTGCTAGCTGGTCCTGGGGGATCCCAGGCGGCTGCATCATCATCTTCTTCGGTGGTGCAGCCTCTTAGCGCTAGGCGGCGACACCGGCCCGCTACCACCACCGACACCACATCGACTGACTGTACTGGTGCCTCGGGGGCACCTCCAGGTAATACCCTTCCACTTTCGTTTTTTTGTTTTTAACATTTTTTTAATTGGGAATTTTATGGTTCAATTTGTTATTTATGTAACTGTATTGTCATATCCCTTTGCAGCCAAGAGGAACACCCGAGGGCCGTGTCGGCAGCTGAAGACGGCGAAGGTCACCCGGGTGACCAACAGTCGTATCAGCATCGGATATGACGAGCGCCATCGGGCTGCACCGACGGCGGACTTGCATAGCTCCTTGGCCCACGACATTGGCCACGTCGTTCGGACCCATTGCCCGATGCAATGGAAGTTTTGGAAGGTCATGCCTGACGAGATCAAGATGCAAGTTCGCGGCCAGTTGTCGGTATGTTTCCTATCTTTTAATTATTTTTCTTTCAAACTTTATATATTTCTATTACTTAATGTATGTAATGAATTTATTGCAGACGAACTACCACTTAGAGGACATCAACGAGGAGACCTTGGCGTACGTCAACAGACTCTTCGGTGAGAGGTACAAGCAGTGGAAGAGCGACTTGCACCACCATTTTCAAGCGTTTGATGATCCGCAAGTCGCTCTTCAGGAGGGTTGCCCAAAGGAGCTTGAGGGGCGGGAGGATAGTTGGGCGTGGCTCTGCGCTCATTTTCAGGCGCCCGATTATGTGGTATTTTTTTAATAATATTTGTTTAATTATTACATATTTCTTATTAATGTTTATTTTATTTTTTATATCTCATTATTATTTAATTTATTTATATTTCAACTATTACGTTTTATTTTTGGTATAACAAAATAAAGCCCAAGTGAATAAGGGCAATAGGAAGAAGAAGACTCTTCTCCACCATTCCGGCTCCAGACCCTTCTCATATAGGATGGATGCACGGCGTCGGGTAAGAATAATATAATTTATATTTAATTTTTAATACGTCATTATTATTAATTTATTTTGTTCATACTAATATTTTCCTTCTCTTGTTCAATTAAGGGGGGGTCGAAATTCCCAGAGATCGACGTCTTTGGTGACGTTTATGTTCGACCTGGGAATGAGTTGGCCAAGTCCCTTCATGTAAGTATTATTTATTTTAATTCTTATGTTACGCTTTCAATTTATATGCATTTTTGAATTTATATTTTATGTAATGTTAAACAGACGACGATGGTGGAGAGGAGCCAGTTGGTTCTTCAAGAGTTCGCCTCCCAACTTCCTCCGGAGACTCCGATCGAGTCTGTGGATCCTCCGCATGATGCTGGATTTCAGATTTTGACGCAGACGTTGGATCAGACTCTCGGGACGAGGACTCTCGGGACGAGACTGGGAACGTATTGTAGGGGGATGGGGAATGCCCGACAGAGGGAACCTCGACCGCGGTCATCGTCGCAGGCAAACAGTCAGGTGACTGTTTTGACATCGCGGGTTGCCGAGCTTGAGGGTCAGATGTCGGTGATTCTGCAGTCCCTCGCGCGGTCCGGCATTCCAATCCCGAATTTTGGTGCGTCGACCTCCGAGCCCGTCCACCCCGAGCATCCCCAGCACACCACGGCCCCTGCAGACGCCCATACCTCCGAGCCGCATGTGGCAAATGACCAAGTAGATTTTGGAACATTATTTGATTAGTTTTTTATTTTTATAATTACTTTTACAATATTTCTCTTGTATACATTTCTTTTATTTTATATAATAAATGTTTTCTTTGCGATTAATCTTTTTATTGTAATTTCATTTTAATTATAAAAAAAAACCAAATTTATTTTTTTACAAAATTAAAA